GCCATTCATAATTCATTTCATTCAATTCAAGTAAATTATTAAATGGTTATCTTTTATTGATAAACATCTACTTAAAAATCTTCCGTATTTATATGCTATCAATCCATATATATTCATTGCATCAATCAATATGATTAGTTGGAAATATTCAAATATACATTAATAAATAATGTTCATTGAATTTTATCAAATTTTTAACATATCGAAATATTTTCTTGAGAAAAACAAATTTATTTTAATCTTTAATGGACTGGTATTTTTCTAATAAGCATCATGTTTCGTTTTTTTCGTTATCGTTGTATTATATTTCGTTATATTATTCTTTGGTTATGTATAATAACAATGATGAAATTAACAATAATATTTTATTATGATTTACAAAAACAATCAATTGATAGTAGTTCATTAGCTTTACCATATGATGATAGTCAATTAAATAAAGAAAACAAACAACAATTATTAAATTTAACAACAAGTCAAATTCAATCTATTAATACAACAATTACTATTAATCGTACAGCTATAGAATATTATCGTCAATATGTGCAAAGAAAAAATCATGAACAATTTATGTATAATAATTATTTATTTTCATCAAAAACAACACGATATATTTTACTTGTACAAGTACATACACGTGTTGTTTATTTAAAAAAATTTATTGAAATGTTACAAGCTGTTCAAACAATAAATCAAACATTACTTATATTTAGTCATGATTTTATTGATCCGGAGATAAATACACTTGTAACAAATATTAAATTTGTTCCGGTAAGATACAAGAGAGAAAAACTAAAAATTCTGCACTTCAGCATACCCCAAAGGGATGCCAAAGCTATCCTCTAGAATTAATGAGCTATATTCAAGTCTACCATCACCGTGTGTCTGAGTCGTTGCACACATTGATAGTAATAGCTAATTAGTTATAGAGAGCAACTTTGACATACTCTCGGAGTGCGCTGAAGTATGAAATGTTCATTTTTTCTTTCTTTGGTAATAGAAATTCACGGCACATATTAAATAGATCTAACAATAATTTCTACAATTATGCGGGGCGTAACATTCAACTGTCTAATGTTGCTTCTAACTTATCATAATCGTTCTCATAAAACTTTTTTCAGCTCGATACGATAAAATATCTTTGGCCACTTCATAGACAGTAATGTCATTATCTTTATTTGCATTGTATCGCTGTTTAGTGACAGATGTGAATTTCATTTCAATAAATTTTACATATATGGCATGAAATATTCGAATAGACAAATAGTTGATAATTTTTTCAGAGGAAGAAAAAAAAACCTACAATCTTTGTTGTAATCAAATGAAGCCTAGAGAAAGATCAATATTTGAACAAATATTTCTTGTTAGATTATCGAATTAATCTTGTCATTCGTATTCAAGTGTATAATTGAAGACTAAAAACAAAAAAGAAAAAGAACAGATTTAAAATAAAAAAAGTTTTGTAATTTTTTTTCTATCGAAAAACAAAAATTTTATTTCTATTTGAAAAGTAAATTCCTTATAGATTATTCTACTACGTAGTTCACTTTTTTTTTTTTATTAAAATGCGAGCTGAAATTTAAAATTAGATCTTTTGTTTTTCTTAGAATCGATTTTTTTTCTGTAAGTATAAATCAATTATTAATTTAGGTGATTCAAATTTTTTATCCATTTTCTCAACAACTTTATCCTGATGAATTTCCTGGTCTTGATCCCAATGATTGTCCACGTGATATAGCTAAACATAAGTAAATATAAGATTTATTTATTATTATTAGTGTATATTTTTCGTTGTTTTTCCATCTAAAAATTTTTACAGACTTTCAAAAATACGTGCTGAAAGAGAAAGGTGGGTTAAGAATAATCTCTCGATTAAAATGAATCTAATAATAAAACTAATAAAAGATAAACTTTAAAAGTCGTCTATGTGTGTAGTTATTCTCTGAAATAAATTCAATAACTAGAAGAAGCACAAAATGTTTTGTGTTTTATTGACACTAACTTTTCATATGTAATTAATTTTTTCTTTAAATTATTTTTGTTATTTTAGAGCTTTAGCTACTCGATGTAAAAATGCACCATATCCCGATAAATATGGACATTATAGAGAAGTGTCTATTGTACAAATAAAACATCATTGGTGGTGGAAAGTAAGTTATAGATTTTGTTTCTTTTTTGTCTTCGTTTTATTTTATCGATTGATATTTTATTAATGAATTTGAATATCATTCATTTGACTTATTTTTAGAGTTTCGAATTGAAACGGGATATAGAAGAGTGAGTATTTACTAGAAAAAGAACGAATGTAGGACTATATACTAAAATAATGATAAATAGAAACTTACAAAAAATTTTTGTTATTTGTTTTACTTTTATTTGTATTATTTTCATTATTAACTAAAAATTAATAAAGGAGAATAATCTTGCCTTTCGGCTACCTTCTGGTGTGAAATGCTGCGTAATGGAAGATTCAATAGCCCGATATCTTCCATACAACTAATACTTGCTGTAGCCCTGTATATAAGGCTAGAGTTCTTGCACTCAATTACTTAAACTGCCAATACACACTAGCCAACTACATACTAGCCGTAGAAGTAAGTGCATGTCACAATGTAGTCATCATGTTATCGGACTGGTGATCGGTAATAAATAACCGTTAGTAACTTGTTCAAAGTCATGTCATGGTTGGTGGTACTGAGGTTTGAAAATAATAATTTGTGAATACGCGTCGAACAATACACATAATCAGATATGACAATCTTGTTAAGAGGACATTAAAATTTTAAGAAATGAAAGAAAAATATAATACATATTTGAAGAATTTTTGATACTATACATTGCATATAAATGCTTCAGACGCGAAACAGATGGTATATCATCTACAAAATATTATCCGAAAATTATATTGATATTTGATTTAAAAAAGTGGTATAGAATTAGTTTACTTATTCTTAACAAATAAATCTATCTGAACAAGAAAAAAACTTTATTGTCAAAAAATCGCTGCTTTTCTCAAAAAATTAATATTATTGAAAAAAAGTGACATATATATTTAGCCTATGTAATCGTAAAATCAACATAAACGATAGATATCTTTTTAGTTCTAATTAAGAAAATAAGTTTTGATCCGAGTAAGGATTATGCGAATAGGTAACTCTTCTAAACGAAATACTAAGAAAAACTTGAGAGATTTTTATTAGTGTTCATTATATGTCCCTCCTCACAATGTATCAAGTTTTAAGCAAGGCGGGGTGTCTTCTATTGTGGTCCATCTATGTTCATAATTGAGATCATGGTAAATTTCAAATTATGACTAACTTTCATTAAACTTCTGATTTTTAGCTTTTTTGAAGCAGAAATCAGAGATCTATCCTTGTTGTTATACATACTGGAAATCTAGAGATGCATAATATCACTAGATTCTTGATTTCAGCTTCTCTGATAGTGATCCAAAGATATACTATGAGTAAATCTCTGATCTCTACTCAATCTATAGGAGACCATCAGTCAATTTTTTTGTTATCCTATTTCTTAGTAGTTTTCAAATTGATTAGCATGTAAGACATTGTTCCTTTGCTATTTATAAACACATAATCTTGTAAAAATTTTGACACCTAGCAGTTAGAATTAGTATTGATTTGAGATTTGCTACTTTATGATCATGACGAAGTCTTCTGGTGAAAGGAATGGCTTACAGCATTTACTATAAAATTCAATTCGACGATAAACAAAAAAATTCAGCTATCAATTTTTTCTATTTTCGTTTATAAAACTGTAAAAATTTGCATAGTAAACTATCGAATTTAATTATATTTCACAGAATCGGTCTCTATAATCTTTAATTGCTTAGAAATTATAGTAAATATAGCAAAAGAAAAACAAATATGTTAACTTTTCCACATCGTATTATTTTTATAATTTGTATTATTATGAATTTATTTATTTTTTAATTATACAAATAACTTTTTCATATTCCGAATACATTTAAAACAATACTTTATTTTGTTTTTGATTTATTTTAGCTCAATTTTGTATTTAATTCCATTGAAATTTTACAAAATCGCACAGATGTTTTAGTACTTTTACTTGAAGAAGATTTTTATTTATCACCAGATGCCCTTTTTTTCTTAAAAAAAATGGAAGATGAAAAAGAACGGTAAATTACAAAATGAATAATCGATTTCTTTTTTTTCTTGAAGCTATTTTATTTTATATTAAAGTCTCTGTCCTGAATGTTTAATTTATACATTGGGTAATCTAGAAAAATCAGGTCGACAATTTAACAACCTTGGATCTAAAGTACGAAAAAGAAAGTTTTCTAATAAAAATTTATAAACTATTCATAGGTTTCTATTGCGTATTGGCATGCTAGATATAATCTTGGTATGACAATATCATATTCTTTATGGCTTTCAATTTTACAATATGCTGAAGAATTTTGTAATGTTGATGATTATAATTGGGATTGGTCCCTTGTTTATTTAGCACAAAAACGTTTTGATTATCCTCGTGTTATATGGTCAAGTGCTGCACGAGTTACTCATCTTGGTTCATGGTAAAATAATAAAACAACAAATTTTGTATATAAAATTATTTTGTTTTTTGTTTTTTAGTGGTACTCATCATAAAAAAACTTGTTCCAATCAATCAGATATAGCTCGATGGGAAGAAACTGATAAATTTTATCAACTTAATTACAAGTATTTATTTCCAACGACACCTCTTACTGTACATGCTAAATATGAAGCAAGACGTCCACTTAAACAAACAAATGGTGGATGGTCTGATTTACGAGATCGACAATTATGTTTATCATTTGCATTAAAAAATACGAAAGATATATCACATATAAATATAAAAATTTGATTTCTGGTTGTTGTTGTTTTTTTTTTGTTTTTTGCTGATGTGCAATCATCGAATTTGAAATTTTTATTTATTTATTGTGAATTTCTTGTTCTTTTATTTGTGTATTTCTTTAGATGATTAACGTTTGTTTTAAAATGAGTTTAGTATTTCGTCGAACTTATTCTACATTGTTGCAAAATAGAAACGTAAAATATTGGCTTTTTTTTCTTAAAGTGATATAACTTGTTAAAAGTATAGGTGTACTTTGATCTTTATCAAAGACAATGTTTGACTTCGTTTTCTTCTGTTCTTTCTCATCGTTCGTCGACAATAATAACATTACAAAGGAGGATGGTGCACATGACATCAACTGCTTCTACAGAGCAAAATACTTTACCTAGGTTGAATAAGAAATATCGTATATGTTTATATGATATGTTTTTTTTAATGATTCTTTATTAGATTACCTGTACCAACATTAGCTGAAACAGCACGAAAGTATTTAAAAACAGTTGCACCATTACTGAATAATGACGAATTTAATGAAACAAAAAAAGTTTGTCAATATATAGATATGTATATCCATAAATAATTAAATTTTTATTAAGATTGTTGAACAATTTCGACAGGAAAGTGAACCATTACAAGAATTATTATTAAAACGAGCGCAGACAGAAGAAAATTGGGTAAGCACAAAGAAGAAGAATTTCAAAATAAGAAAGAATTCCGCTGGATTTGATGATCTATCTTGAACTAGGGTACCATATATGTAGTTTTGTAGAGCAATTTAGGATTCATCGAATCATATATAAGAAATCAAGTTTTTCTCAAATTTTGATGTGCTCAGGATTCATATATTGGTTGTAATCCTTGAGAAATATATATATAGGATACTCATAGACATTGTGATTCCTAAGATAAACTTATGTAAATTTCGTTTTCAAACTCAATTCAATACAGTTATAGTTATTCTTCAATTTTCTATAATCAATAGTTTTCATCATTATTTTCTTCATATTCAAAATTGATCCCTTTTCTTAGATCCGGGTTATCTCTTGCCCATATGATATTTCAGTGTGTTCAACTCTATGTCACAGAACAAGTGAGTACCAACATCAAGCTTTCTCAAAAATTGTGCACTATCGAGTTCTACATGTTTGATAGATAACATCTTTAGCAATAGCAAGTACTCATTGTCAACTTACAAGATTACTTCTTAGAATAGTTTATACCGGTTTCCTCACATAGAAAAATGGGCTATTCTAGAGGACTATCTTGCAAGTTGACAATGAGTTTCTGCTGTTCCGACACATGTTGTTATTTGTGAAACACATAGAGCTTGTGGTGTGTAGTTTTATGAAAAAGCTTTACGTTGGTACTGAGTTATTCTGTGGTACAAAGTTGAACACACTGGAATATCATATAGTCAAGGAAATAGTCTAGGCGTAACAAAAGAGACTAATTTTATATATGAAGAAAGCAATGATGAAAGTTATTGGTTATAGAAAATTAAGAGATACCTATAATGGTATTGAATTGAGTTTAAAAACGAAATTAAATCTGAGCACATCAAAATTTGAGGAAAACTTAATTTCTTATACACTATATGATGTGCCGTAAATTGCTCTACAAAATCAAATATATGGTATTCTGATTCAGTATAGATCACCGAATCTGACTATGTTTTTAAAATTATATTCTTTATATAAAATATAGTTATCACAATGGTGGCTCAATAAAACATATCTTGAATGGCGTTTGAATTTACCTATTTATTATAATCCTGCTATAGTATTACCTCGACAATCATATAGAGATTTTGATGGACAAATTCAATTCGCAGCTAATTTTGTTCATGGCGTTCTACGTTATAGATCATTACTTGATGGGTAATATAAAAATTTTATTCTTTCACAATAATAAATTGCCATCTTGCAATTTTTTATCTTCTTTCTATAAAGATTCGAAACATAATTCAAAGAATTCATTTAAAACTCATTCGATAGGCATTTTTTGTTCTACGAAACTGTTGGCCTAAATTTTTCAAATAGGTTTTTCTTGTTGACAAAAAATTAAGGACACTAGCAACTACTCAACTGTCCAAGTGCAACTGTCAAATAGCACAAAAAATATTATAAAATTTTCCTAAGAAAACTAGTAGCCTGAAATTTGACAAATAGTACCTATTACTTCATCAATTCTACATTGCTCGATGTTTCAGAACGTTAGAGTAAATATTTCGGAGAGCAATTTTTAAAATAAAAACCCATCTAAAGGTTTTCATTGTTCAACTTATCTGTTGTATCGTTGTATTTAGAATGAAATTCTGCGTTCGATAGTATAATAATGGATCTTTCATAGAGCATGTCTGACTTTTGAATAGAGGAATTTCGAACGTGAATCCAAAAGAAATCCCATCAGATGTTAGTTCCAAGATTTTTTGATCCTTGAAAAGATCTTGAAAACAGGGCGTAACATTTTCTATTTATGGATGCTACATACTTCACATTTATTGTCACACTTGATTAACATAGGCTTACAAAAATTGTTAGATATCTGTAGAAAATAATAGGAGATTATAGCTGAGTGTTTGTCAGTCTTTTCAATGTTTCTTCCACAAGAAAAACCTTATTTAAGAAACGAAATCGACAGTTTTGTAGAGCAAAAAATTCTCTATTAAATGAGCGGCAAACAAAGCATTCAAGCTGTTTTTAAGTGTTTAGAAAAAGAAATTAAAAATGTTCTCATTCTTTATGAACTTCTTGTTGTTTGTTCTCACAAAAAAATGTTTTCAACTGATCAATAATTTTCTCATCAAAAGTCCCTGATTTATGGGTTATCGACCATGTTGATTCTGCATATGACAATGAGAAATCATCTTCGGTCTTTATATGCGGCTTTTTCAGACCCAAACACATTTTTCTCAAATAGTTTTAGATCTATTCAGGCTATAGAGCATATCGAGTTGTCAACGAAAGTTTTCACATAAAAATATGGATATGTATCTGTTGTATGAATTCAAATGGCTTTATTTTCTGCAGAAAAGAAACCATTTGAGACAGAAAAATTATTGCTTTCTAGACAATTCAATGTGCTCTATGATTGAAACAGATCAAACGAAAATTTTGTCAGTCTTGAAGACCAATATGTGAAGATCTAAAGAGATTTCTCATAACCATATTTGGAATCAGTATGGTCGATAACCGAAAAATCCAGTAGCTTTTTATCAAAGAAGTAAATGATCAGTTGAAAAAGTTCCTGCGTAAAAACTATATTTTGTGATTTGATACGAGAAATATGATTTATTTTTCTTAGTAACCAAATACCAATTGATCGTTTCGGTACGGATCCTCTTTGTATGGATCAATATAATAAAGTTCTTGGCATATGTCGTATTCCGGCAAAATCTATTGATCGACTTCATTTATACAACAAAAATGGTCATCGTCATGTTGCAATATTTTATCGAAATAATGTAAATATTGCAAAATTCGTTTTTTTTTCTGCTTAACCGTTAAAAACAAGGGTGATTTTTTTGACGATGAGAAAAAATAGAAATTCTAGACACTCAATATGATTATATAATAGTTAAAAAAAAGATAAACCTTCTTTCTTGTAAAAATACAGAATGTCTCTTGGAAGGAATATCCGATCTTAACGGTATGAATGTATTACGTCTCTTGAACCAATTGAATAGAATATTTGCAATTTGTTAACCCTTTCCAGCCGGCTCCTAGAAGACAAGTAACAAAAAAGTCTTTTTATGGATTTTCGTTGCTCCTAGACCATGGAGATAGGAAAAGTTTATTTCTCAGAACCAATAAGTGCTTCAGCATCTAATGGCTTCATGTATCCATTTGGATACATCCGGCCACTAAGGTACAAAAATTTTGAAAAAGTCATTTCTTTTTGTCCAGCAAAATTTGATATTTTATGGTTTTTCTTACATCTACATTTGTAGATGAAATCACACGTTGCCTGTTTGTCGATGTTTTGCAGTCCAAAGCTTAAATATTTCTAGAATGTTCTAAGATTCTGCAGTATAGTGTCATAGTAGCTCAATTTTTTCCGAAAAGTTTTAGAAATTTGGAAACATTCTAAAGAGTTTCTGAACATTTTCTAGTGTTCCAAACTAGGCTATCACGAAATATTCAGCAACTCTCTACAATATTCCTGAATTTATAGAAATTTTCGAAAAAAATTGAGCTACTATTGCACTATACTGCAGAATCTTAGAACATTCTAGAAATATTTAAGCTTTGGGCTGCAAAACATCGACAAACAGGCAACGCGTGACTTCATCTACAAATATAAATGTAAAAAAAACCATAAAATATCAAATTTTGCTGGGCAAAAAGAAATGACTTTTTCAAAATTTTTGTACCTTAGTGGCCGGATGTATCCAAATGGATACATTCCCATTTTTTATTATTCGGATTTTTTAAATACTCCGTCTTAGTGATCCAATAGACAGTAGGTCTATGAAGGAAAATTAACAACTGCTTGCTTCGAAGTTTGGTTATTTAGAGACACGAGAAAAGGATTATTTCTATACGGACGCTATTTTGGAGCATTTTAGATAGAGCCGGCCATTTTCTTAGTGAGTGTTATTTCCTTCTTCTAAACACGTGAATGTGTGTTGAAATGTGTTAACTTATTTATCAAATCGTCAAAACATTTCATATCATCACTACAAGTTACTTCTTCGTAAAACATTGGCTTCATGTATCCAAATGGATACATCCGGCTGTAAAGGGTTAACACTTCTGTACTTTTTGTTTCATTATAACACTACCCTGTGAGCTGAACCAAATGTCGCGAAATCAATATTATGAAGACCAAAAGAATCATCTCATAATTTTGCTAGTGGTCTCAAGAGGAAACCATCCGCAGCCTTGCGTTAGAGATAAGACCCCAGCTATTACGTAGAGACTGTTGAGGCTAAAAGAAACCTGGTGGATACTTCTCCACGCACTACTGTTTTCGAGTGATAGCCGTTGCACTAGATTTTTTTACTTTTAGTACGTTATTTATTTAAAAAGAACCTAGACAAACGAATTTTGGCTAAAAGCTTTGCCAATAGACAACTGTGGATTTGATATCTCGAGAATAGACCATTCTTTTTGACTGAAAATTTTAGGAGATTCTAATGACTTCAAGAGCTGTCTATAGACAACGTTTTAGTCCAAAATTTACTCCTTCTATTTTTGTTTATAGATATCACTTCAAAGGTTAAAAAAAACCTTGTAATAGCTCTATCTCGAAAAGAGCAGCGCATGGAAAAGAATCGTTCTGAGTTTCTTCTAGTCTCAACATGCTCTACGTAATGACTGGAGCCTCATCTCGGTTAGTTTCCTCGTCAGGTCATTGGCGAAGTGGTTACTGAATACTCTTCGGGAGGAAAATCAGGACTATTGCAAAGTGTTCAAAATTGAAGTGAAATCAGTAATTCAGTCACGAGCACAACGAAATTTTTGACGATTCATGGGGCATGTGGCTGCCCTTAGAATGACTCAAAGGAGCCAAGAATTTACTCAAATATTACTTTAAATAGTTCTTCTATTATTCATGGGTTGATTATTGAATGTTTCATGCCGTTATAATCGAATATCCTTTTCAAGGAACATTTTCTTAATGATGTCGTCATGAGTCAGAAGATGGTTTAAAAAATTACCGAACTATTTCATCAGATAGCTTGATATTGCACTAAGTGATGTCACTGAAAAAAAAATAGCTATGAGCAAACAAAATATTTTAGAGCAAAGAATGAATTTTTAAAATTCTACTGTACTGTCTGACAGTCACGTAAGAGGAATTTCGGTTTTTACATATAACGTCGTATTAAGTCTATAATAGCAATTACTGCAATGTCCCTTAGAAAGAACATTTTTTAGCTTTTAAAAGCTAAATTTTTCATGTATGATTTATTTTTAAAGATCTATCGACTACCAGTATACGATGATCAAGGAAATAAATTATCAGCTGATGTAATCTATAATTCGTTAAAAAAACTTGCTGATTTAAAAGAATCTGATGAAAAATCAACATTAATTGGTCACTTAACAGCCGATGAAAGACAACTTTCGGCACCAATTTATGAACAATTATCATCTAGTAAAAAGTTTTGTTCGAATAAAAAAAAATAAAATAATTTATTTTTTAGTTCCAGAAAATAAAAATTTATTTGATACAATTTTTGATAGTTTACTTGTATTATGTCTTGATGAAAGTTATCAATTATCAAATGATAAAACAACAGGAAAAGATACAAAAACATTAGTTGGTTTAAATTTTCTACATGGTGGTGGAACAAAATATAATACAGCTAATCGTTGGTTTGATAAAACACTTCAAGTAAAATAAAAATGAATTTTCCTTTTGTTTTGTTTTTTCGTTTATATTTAAGAAAAAAAAAATTTTCTTTTGATTTTAAGATCATTGTAGGACCTGATGGTTATAGTGGTGTTAATTATGAACATTCACTCACTGAAGGTGGAATAATTACAGCACTTACTGATTATGCTTTGGATTATTGGTAAATTTCATTCAAAGAAATAATTTCATTTGATTAACATTTGATCTTTGTTTTTTATAGTAAAACAGCAGAACCATTTGTTCATACTAATAAATCATCATTATTAAGTAAATGTCGTATTGTTATACCTAAAGAACTCGAACAATCGATAATTGAAAGTGAAAAACGTGTTGATAAGTAAGGATAAAAATAATAAAATTCTTTAATATAGTTGTATTATTTATAGATTTGTTGAAAATTGTGATTTAATTGTTCATAAATATCATGAATATGGAAAAGACTTTGCAAAACAAAATAAATTAAGCATAGGTAAAAAAAAAACAAATGATAATGAATTGCGAACGAATAGAAATCGTTTTGTTTTAGATGCTATGATACAAGTTGCTTTACAAGTTGCATATTTTCGGTAAGTATTATAATAGATTGATTTTTTTATGATTAAAGGCTGAAGGAAGTTCGTCGCGAAGTGGTCAATTGTTTTTGAATCGAGACTATGTACATGATGTAGGTTAAAATGAACTATGAAAACCTTGTTACGTGTTCGAGCCTTTGACTTCTAGTGTGAAAGCCTTGGCACAAGATATTCGCTCATTTTTTTTTTGACTACTACAAGACAACGAATTAGAATCAGAAGCAGTTAATTAGAATCAAAATTTTTCTTCTAAAATAACATTAAACAGCTATTAGTCAATTTTTTGAAAAAGTTCAAAATCGTGTTTGTACAAAAGTAAAGTAGCAACTTTGACGTAGTCCTTAGTTTACATAGATTGTGTTTTAGAATAGGTTCAAGTGAACATTATTATAGAGTGCTGAATTCTATACAAAATAAGACACTGAAATAAGTGAAATCTCATCGATACATTTTCACTAAAGAGTAGGTTTCTATGGAAACCGCCATTAGTAAAAGAAAATCGCTGTTTCAAAAACTGTTTTTCAGAATGCAAAAGTTTTAAAATCTGTCATGCAAAAATAAATAAGACGCTTTGTAGAGCAACTTCTGCTTTACAAAACTAACGAGAGAACTTCTCCAAGTGTCAAATCACTTTTTGATGAGTACTAGTGTATAATAGAAAAGTTTAGAATGATTTAGCCTTCCTAGTATTTGTTCTTGAGATATCGAAATTTTACTGAGGTTTTCAACAAAAAGCTATGATCTTCTTCAGGTCACGCGAGAGTTTCGACTTCAAACTTTGCACAAATAAAGTTCTTAATGAGATTAGTTGATTGTGAAAGTTTCAGATCTTCTGATTATTCCTATTCTAAAATAAGAACATCAGAATCTCCTGATGAATATGAGCGACACGAAAAAAAACGTGCTTTTTTACATAGACATATCTTCGGATAGAAACAATTGAATAATCTGTAATACTGACAACAAACTAATAGGATCGATGTCTATCGCAATGTAAAGTTTCAGATTAAAATTCAAACCTCCGTTTCGCTATTGTTTTGGAGTGGAAGTATAACAATCTACTAAAGAATACCGAAAAAAAAATGTAGTATCTCCGCAGCAATAAGCTAACAGCTTAAACTCTTTACAGACGTAAGATATATATTCCTTCTGTTATATTCTCATTCAATAATGATCATTTGGCAGTAGATAATAAGTAATATGTGCATTTGATATAATTCGAACGGTATTAATACAATTTTTTTTCAATAACTTTTAGAATGCATGGAAAATGTGGTGCTACTTATGAAAGTGGTTCTTTACGTCGTTATCATCTTGGTCGAACAGAAACTATTCGTTCATGTACATTAGAAGCCCAAATATTTGCTCGTACTATGTCTGAAGAACATAATGAAACAGCAAATAATACGAAATATGATCTATTTCTTAATGCTATGAAAGCACATCGACAATATACAAATGATGTAAAATTATATATATTTATACATATATATCTTGTTATATTCTTAAATTTAATTTAGGCAATCAATGCTAAAGGCATCGATCGACATTTATTAGGATTACGATTAATTGCAATGGAAAATAATTTACCAAAACCTGCTTTATTTGATCATATTAGTTATAAACGTGCAATGCGTTATACTCTTTCAACAAGTCAAGTAAGATTAATCTATGTATTTAGATAAAAAAAACCTTAAATCTCGTATGAAAAATTTTAGGTTGCTGCAAAACATGATTGTGTAATGATTTTTGGTCCAGCTGCTGATGATGGATGTAAATTATTTATTTAAATTATTTATTTTTTAGTTTTTCTTAATTCAATATTTTAGATGGTTGTTGTTATAATCCACGTCGTGATTCAATAAATTATATGATAACAGCTTTTAAAATAAATAATGGAGGAACAGATGTAAAAGAATTTTCAAATCATCTTGATCGTAGTTTAACAGATATTCGAAAATTAATTGAATTGAATACAACTAAGACAATGAAATCCAAATTATAGATTCATAGATTTGTTCTCTTTGTTTTTTTTTGTCCTTTTTTCTTAATTGATTTGATTTTTAAATGGGTGATATGGTTAGTTTTATTTGTCTTTTATGTTTTAGATTTCAGTAAAAAAAAAAAAAAGAAAATATCATGGTAGAATTTATTTTTATAATTGAATATTTTAATCGATTGATTATAGGTACAATGTTGGTATATGGACGATCGACAAGATGATCCACAAGATAATCATCTATTAAAAGATGTTGATACAGCTACATTATGTGATCGTACAGGTGTTGAAGTATGGCATTTTCAACCAGATCAAATTCTTTCCGATAATGAATGCCCTGCATTGGTAAAACTTAAACAAGATCGAGGGTAAAAATTAGAATCGAGTAGCGAAATAAATGAAAGTTCTTTTGAAATAAAAGAAAAATGTCAAGATCAGTTTTTGTTAAGACTAAAATATTCGACTTATTAAGAGTTTATGAACTTAAGAAGGAAGACTTTCAACTGATTAACGAGTAGATTGAAAATTTTCAGACAAAATATTTGTTTATTTTTGGCTTGCTTGAAAGTATTTTGTTCAAGATTAGTGAAAGAACTTTCTAAAAGTTCAAAAAAATTAAATTCAATGGCGAGTCAATAGACTTTTGTTAACTATATAAATTCCGTTTCCAAGGTACCAAAAATTATTGTAGCCAATCGTTTTATCGAGGATCCACTGCTTTATAAAATGTTATATTGAACTAATCTGTAGCTTTTATCTAAATGAAACTATAGTCACTTTATCAAGAGCTTTTTTCTATACAAAACGGCTTTTTAGTTAAAAAAAGTCGATTTTTCAAAAATGAAGATATTGAAGTGACCTGTAGAAAAACTCTAATAGTGAAAGCACAAAAGTGTACGGAAAATTTTTCCATTCAAGCGATTTTTTAGACCTTTCAAAAAAAATCATCTTATTAGTCTCAAGAAAATTTCTAATCCTACATTGGGGAAGAACACAAAATTCTGTTTATAAGTCATAGCTTTTGACTTCTCAGAAACACCTTCAAGGTAGTCAAAAATAAACAAACATTTTTTCTCAAAACTTTCAACCCATTCGTTATTGTGCACATATATTGGGAACTTAATTCTAAGAAAAAGTTTAAGATGATTTGGACTTATACGGCTTCTTTCAATAGATATGAATATATTTTTCTTTTATAACAAAAGAAATCATATCAATAAACCTTGTATAATTCAAATGAAAAGTACTCTGCCCTGTTACAAGTTACAACTTCATATCATGAACAGAAATAAGATATGAATGAGATTAAGAAAATCTTAAAAGGAGACATGCTCATGACTTTTTGGCAGAAAATTATAATTCTTTTACTATTTTTATTTGAAAAAATTGAATTAGACAGTTCCGATCTAAATTTTTGTCAGCAGATAGATGTAATTATTCTTAGAATATCTTGAAAATTTCAATCAAAAACCAATGTTTCTTTTCCATATTAGGGTAGTTCTCTCAGAAATTTTATGAGTTCTATTGATATGACTTTCTCTAATATGAAAGTAAAAATATTTATATCTTTTGAACCAAGCCATATCAGCCAAAATCATCTTAGATTTTTTCTCATTTGTCTTGAAAATGACGTTCATTTATTCAAACAAACATAGCAAACATATAAAATTGTTATCTTCACAAGGAAGATGTTTACTTGCAATGTTATATTCCAAAGAAATACAAATCAATGTTAAAAAAGAAAGAACATTCGTTTAAATAACAATCTTTCATATAAAATAAATGTTCTGTAATTGACCGAATAAATTCTTTTTGTTCTAATAAACAGCACTCCGAATCACATTTTGTAGAGAAAGTTTTTTTTTTTTCTATAGAATAAGACGATTTCAAAAACTATATAATTCTTGGTGTCCAAGTTAGAATATGATTACAACGCAATCGAAATTGGTGCCAGTTGCACACTTTATGTTCGTTTTCTCAAGTTAAAAAATCTACATAGGAGCTACGATAATCTTGCTTTGAAAGAAAAAGATTTCTCCGCAAAATGTACTTGTTGAATGTTCTTGTACTTTCTTTTTCGATACGGCATATCTAATTCTTCAAGCGAAATCAGAAAGTCTCGTGCTCATTTTTAAACAGCATTCATCCTAGAATATGTGAGACAGAGCTTGGCACAAGATAACTTTTTCTATTCTGTACCCAACTCTGATATGGAGTGTTTACTAAATAATTTTTTTTTCTTTTATATTTAAAAATATATTCTTAATTCCTTTGAATGGATGACGCAGATTAAATGGGATAAAAGTATTTTCTTTTTTTCTGGTTCACTTAAACACATTTTTAGAAAGTCTTGCGATAGACAATTTTTTCATTCACTCTAAAAAACTGTTGCATTTATTTTTCAAAAAAGAATTTTCTTGTTGAAGCAAAATATACAAGATTAATACTTACTCAATCATCCAACTACAACGATCTCTAAAAAAAAATAGAAAAATGATAGAAAATTTTTTAAGAACGCTTTGCTAAAATTTCAAATATACCACAAAATTTTCTATCCATTTGTATTAACTCCATTACTTTTTAGATTAATCTTGATGAGCACAAACTTATACAAATTAGTATATATATCTGCATAAAATTATAGTTAGACGATTGAGTAGACGTTCATATTTTAAAAACTTTCTCCAACAAAAACAAACATCTATTTGAAAAAATTCTCGATCGGATGACTTTTTGGAAAGTATATCTAAGTGATCGAAAAGGAAAAAAAGATTTTGTTGCATTTAATCTGTGCTACCCGTTATATAGATATACATATGAAGATGTAATCAAAGTCGAACCATCCATGGAAAAATATGATGAAAAATTAAAAATGTTTTTTACTGAACATACGCATTCTGATGAAGAAATTCGTCTCGTACTTGAAGGTGCAGGCTTTTTTGATGTACGTGATTGTGATGATAAATGGATGAGAATTCATGTTTTTCCTGGTGATTTACTTATTTTACCAGCTGGTAATAGAAAAAAAAAATAAACAACTTATATATATTTGTCAATGATTTTTTTATTTTTTATTCTTAAAGGAATGTATCATCGATTTATACCTGATAAACAAAATTTTATTCTTGCTAAACGTTTTTTTGTTGGTGAACCTGTATGGACACCAATTAATCGACCCAATGGTGATACACATCCATCTCGTACAGCTTATATAAAAAAACTTTATCATAATGATTAAATTCAAAGATGAAAAAAATATTATTAGAACTAATTATTTAATAGAAAACAGTAATTTTTTCATGTGATTATTTTTGACTTTAAAAATTTATATATATATTATCCATCAGTATTTTTGTTTTTTTTTGACTGATATTTAATATATATAACAGTAAATCCAAAAATTAATGAAGCTAAAATAACAACAACAAATAAAATAAAAATAAAACCTATAGGTCCTAAAAGTTTTGGATTAATCATATAACCAATAAGCAATGGAATAGTTGCATCACCAGCTGAACCACCAACCGCTAAAATTGACATTCTTAGCCCTGTTAAAGATATTTGTTTTTCTATAAAGGCAATTACTGATGCATAAATTGATCCAGCAGATATTCCAAAAAAAATTGAACCAATCCATAAAACCAATGATGATTTATTAAAAATCAATAATAATAATATTGAACCAATACTACCAATTAAATCTGAAATAAGCATTTGTAATGGAGAAAATTTTAATGACAATGGAATACCACAAAGACGACTGAATGCAAATGATGCCCAAAAAGCAGAATTAAGATATGCAGCTATATCTTTTTCAAAATGTAATTGTAAAATTGCATAAGTATGTATATAGGAACCAAAACCTATTTCACCACCAATATATACAAGAATAAATAATGTCATTAAACCAAGAATTACATAATTTTCAGATGATTTTGTTCGATCATCAGATTTAATATTAATTGTTTCATTTTGTGTATTCTCTGAAATGAATTCTTTATTTTCCAAAACAATTTCTTGATTTTTTCTTAAACAAAATTCATCACGTATAGCATAAATTAAAAGCCATATTACATTAGGTATATGTAAAAGACCAATTAACCAATATGCATAATGCCATTGATCAATAGGACTTGATTTTCGAAGAAATGGTGCAATAATTAATGGCGAAAAAAAAGCACCAATACCAAATGCACCATGAAGTGCTTGTAAAAATGGATTAACATTCATTTGTTCATAATGACGTATAGTTAAAATTTGTGTTAAAGTATCAACTAAACCACCTGCAAAACTCCACATGAAATGGACAATAATCATTAATATAAGATGATACATAAATGGAATAATTAGTGTTGTTATACACATTATAAAAACTGTAAATATTAAAAATGTTCGACCAAATCGTGGAAAACGATCAAAAAGAATTCCACCAATGAGAGTACCAATTAAATAACCAATTGAACGTGTAAATAATATATAAATAACACGATCTAATGGTGATTTTGTTTGTTCAACAAATTTAAGTAATGTTGGTCCAAAAAGACCGGCACCAAATCCCAGTGATAAAAATGTATAAAATAAAGCAAGAAAATAAATAATAGAAGGTTTTGTATCAGATTTTTTCGTTGATTTCTTTTCATTATTATGAGACCCAACATAACTATGAAGAGAAACAATTGATGTTGACAACGAAAGCATACTATTGTCGATGTTTTTTTTCTTGATGTTGCACTGTTTTTATTCTTATCAAACGTTACTTAATTTACATCATATCTATATAAAAAAAAATACTAAAAGGCAAAATTAATTGAAATATCTAGTATGGCTTCTTTTTTTAGAAAAGCAATTATTTTTAAAGGCGAATTAAATAATCTACTAGTGATGTAACTTTTCAATTCCATAAAATCATGTTCTATAATTTTAATTAACATTTAAATAGAATCAATTGAATATAATTGAAAAAAGAACAACATTACAAATCACATAGGCCTAGATGTGCTATTTGACACATTATGTTTTTGAAGCTGGATATCGGTTATTTATACAAATATTACAAACAACTGTATCGTACGAGTCTTAGAAAAATGTTACCGTCATTCATTCAAAGAATATCTAGTCAGCATTACCATCAACATAAATATTCATAGATGCCGGTAGTCTACTTGCTTACACGAATAAATATCTTCTCTGAAAGAACTTTTCTTAACAAACCTTTTTCTTTCTTGAAATATATGGAATTAACTCAACAATACCTAGAAATATCTACTAATACTGAAAAGTATTATTTGCGTATTTTTCACTCGCAAATACCATGAAACATAGTAAAACAATTTCATATTAAAATAATCAACTAAAAGTTAGAAAAATGTGTAAAAATATTTAAAAGTGAATTTTTTCTCTTCATTAAGAAAGTGAAAATTATAGTTTGAAACTGTTTGCCTATATATTTTACATTGTTTGACTATAGAAATATGATAGTGTTATCATGCTTCAGATTTAAAAAGCATATTTTACTTATAAAATGTATTAATGTACAGTTTTATAGTCGTCAATGTTCTGAATATGCTAAAAACAAGTGTCTAGTTAAAAATACTAATTTCTTAACATTTTGTAAATGTTTTATCAAGGCAGAATTTATCAAAAATCATTCCCAGTTTCATATCAAAACATGAATCACTTTTGTTTTTCAATGTAAGCGAATATATAATGCATATTACTAGAATTTTTTTCAAGTGTTAATGGAAGTAACTTGCATGTGATTTGAAATTGTTAGGTATTTGTATAAATTACTAATACTCACAATAAATGAATGGAAAAAAGCTTACGAGGGAAGGTCTCCAATTGATAGATGCTTTTGGAGTCGAGACTATGTGCATTATATAGACCCAAATGTGCTATGAACATCCTAAAAGGAGTTTGTGTCCTTAGATAATTGTTGGGGAGATTCTGCACTTTTACAATATTTTTTTAAAATGAATATCATGGCAACAGAAAAACGTATTTTCGAATTTCGACTTGAAACTTTGTAGAGACAGGTCTTAACAAGAGTAGTTTATTGCTTTTATCCTGAAATAAGAACATCACATCTACCGATTTATATGAGCGATGTAAAAGATACACTTTTGCCATTATTGTATTTGAGAATAGGCACAAAATCATTTTTTCTGTTACCATGGCATTGATTTAAAAAAATATCGTAAAAGTACAGTATCTTCGCAGCAGGAAGCTAAGAGCGCGAACTCTTTTTCAGCATATTCATAGGTCATCAGAGTCTATATAATGCACATAGTCTCGACTCAAAAGCAATTTATCAATTAGAGCACTCTCCTCTTTAAACAATTTTTAGGGAAAGTCTGATTTATATTGACTCCCTTATTAGTAAAAATTCCTGCTGATTTTTCAAAATTTACCTTATTGAAGAAACTTATATTTTTGAGCATATTCTATGCATAAGCAAAGAATAAAATTTAGAAAAAAAATTAAAAGATTATTTAGACTTTGTTAGAACATTTCTAATTAATAAAATACATTCTATCGACTAGTACAACTGTCCTTTCACGTATATACTATCATCTATCAAATATAAATGTTTTAATTCAAGTATTCATTCAATACTTCGTTAAACGCACATATTCTTTATAAATAAAACATACTTTTTTTTGTTCAATGTTAATTTTGTTACAATAAATAATATAAAATTAGTGATCATTTGATCCTTTTTTTTACCTTGTAATCTTCTTTTCTTTCAAATGAAAAAGTTTTTCAATTGTCACAGTAAAGATTTTTTTATTTGTTTAATGAAATTCATTGAGCTAGATTAATCAAAACAGAGAATAATAATAAATTATTATACAAAAAACAACATCTGACATGCTTAAGATGAACACGAAATAATGATCTTTTTTGCCCATTCCGGAGATGCTTTTGCATAATCATTCATATCAGGTTGTTCATCATAAGGATGTCGAAGTAAATGAAAAAGTCGATCAATTTCATTAAAATCACCTTTTTGTGCTTTTTCAATTGCTATTTGAGCCATGTAATTTCTTAAAATATATTTTGGATTAATACGATTCATTTGTTCACGACGAATTTTATTAGCATAACTACCTTCTAATGCTAATCTTTGTTTATATACATAATACCAATGTTCATTTTGTATTTCATTAGGAATAATATCGTCGGCAAGTTGTCTCCAAAATCTAGTATAATCAATATGATATAAATCTAATAAACGAAGAATTTCTTCATAAAGCCATTTATCAGATTGAAGATAAAATGTTAAACCAAGTTTTTTACGCATTAAATTATCATATGTACGATTAAAATATAACCAAAATTCATATTGTTCATTTATCGGATATGTTGATTCAATTAATGAATCAAATGCTAAACGTAATTTAGCAAGATTCCATGCAGCTATCGATGGTTGTCGATCAAATGCATATCGACCTTCATCATCTGAATGATTTGGTATATAACCTTGAAGTTTAGTTTCAACAAAACCAAAAGGTCCATAATCAACTGTTGATCCAATTACATTCATATTATCAGTATTTAATACACCATGTGTAAAACCAAATGCTTGCCAATAAGCAACAAGATTTGCTGTTCGATGTGTAATATCAATTAATAATAAATTATAACGATTTTTACTCGATAATGGTTTATCATACATATTATTAATAACAAAATCAGCTAATTGTCGAACTTGTTGATATTGAAGACGAGTTGAAAATAATTCAAATGTACCCATACGTATAAATGCAACAATTGGTGCAATACGTACAACAATAGCAGCTGTTTCAATTGTTTCCCGATAGACTGGTGAAAGAACAGAACCAACAAGACTTAGTGCACGTGTTGTTTCAATACCTAAATGAAACATTGCTTCAGATGCGAGATATTCTCGTATTGATGAACGTAATACTGCTCGACCATCACCACCACGAGAATATTGTGTTGGTCCAGTACCTTTAGCATGAAATGCCCATTGATTTAATTGACCAAGTAGAAGAGCTCGACCATCACCTAATTGTGAAGTAAAATAACCAAATTGATGACCAGCATAAACCATCGCTACTGGTCGAGAACCAGACAGAAGTTTATTACCACTTAATAATTCAGCCATTTCTTGTCGATCAATCATTGATAGAGAAAGATTATTCATTAATTCATCATTTATACTAATTAAATAAGGCTCAGGAATAGATTTTGATTTAGTAAATGAATAAAAATAATCTGATGGTAATTGTTCAATATATGTATTATTATTAAAATGTAAAAAGGTTTGTACATTAAATATAAATATGAAGAATAAAAATAATAAAATCATAACTAATCTGAATAAAATTTAAAGAATTCTTTTAATGAATAAAATCTTAAAAAATGTTCTAAAATTCCTATCGACATATAAATATGAACAGTTCTTCAGCAATTCAAATTATTTATTTTTTTTCATAATTTGATTTATTCAGTATATTTTCAAATACAATATCTGTGCTTACAGAAACCAGAACTACAATAATTTTATTCATGATCAAATTTAAATCAACTAGCATTATAAAATGGAAACTACAAGTCAAATTTGAAAAAAAAACACGCTGACTAAACCTCGCATTAGCGTTTCGTAAAATTGCTACTGTGAAGAACCAATTACGTTCTTGAAAACCTTTACAATCATTAATGAAAAAAAGTCAATGAAATTAATAATGCTCATGAAAATGAGTCAGGATCAACTATTCTGTGTATTTCATAAGCGTGTACAATACACCAAACAACAACATACTGAATTATGAGGAAATATCTTTTATTAAATCCATATATGAGATTATTTGTTCAACAGCTTGAATAAGTTTGTGCAGTAGATCAAACGCTTGAATTTGATTCATTTTCATGAACATCATTGACTTTTTCTTCAATAATTACTGTAGAGATTTGCCACAACGTGATCGATATTCAACTGTATTGATTTCATAAAATCTTAAGGCGAGACTCACTTCCCAGCGAACCACCTGAAGTGATATCATGCGTTTGAGATGAGGTCTCAGTCATTACATAGTGTCTATTGAGACTAGAATAAATCTAGAAAGATTCTTCCTCATGCGCTGCTCATTTCGAATTATAGCCATTACATTGAATGTTTTACCTTTAGCATGGTATCTAGTAAAAAGAACCGGATAAATGAATTTCGACCTAAAAACTTTGTTCAGAGATGGCTCTTGGAGTCATTTAAATATCATAAAAATTTCAGCGAAAAAGAATAGTGTTTTCTTCAAATATCAAATTCACAAAAAACCATGATATTCCGGAAAATCTTGATTTGTGTGAATTCGATATCTCAAGAAGGGACCATTCTTTTTGATTAAAATTTTTATGAGATTCTAATAACTTCAAGAGCTGACTGTGGACAAAGTTTTAGGTCAAAATTCGTTTGTTCAGTTTTTTTTATAAATACCGTATCAAAGGTAGAAAACTCAGTATAACGGTCATAACTTCAAAATGGCAACGTATGGGAAAGAATCTTTCTAAGTTTCTTCTAGTCTCAACAAGCCCTACATAATGACTAGTGTCTCATCTCAGACGTAAGATATCACCTTGGGTGGTTTCCAAATTTAACCTGTACGTGTCATGTTATAATGATAGTTGATCCGAAATCGATCATGAATAAAACTATTTTAATTCTAATTTCTGTAGGTGCAGATATTTTATTTGAAAATATATTGAATAAGATCAAATTGTGGAAAAAGAGTATTTTAAACTATTAAAGAGCTAGCCATACTTCGTTTTTGATCGGACTTTGGCAATATTCCTGAAACGATCATGTTCAAGATAAATTATATGATAAATAAATAAATATTTCTAAATATTTTATCAGCATGGTCTTACGAGAAGTTAGTTTACATACAAATTCATATAAAAACATCAATCATCAGTAAATATACTGAAACTATTGAACCAAACAATTCAGTCTTTACATATACATAATAATATATCAGTTCTATACTAGGGATTTATGAATAACAAAATAATATAATGAAATATGTCAAATTTTATTACCGAAGAAACTAAAAATATGATTCATTCTAAATTTTAAATACTTATCAAGAAACAATTGAAAGCGTACGATGACTTTAATTACAAAGGTAATATTTACGTAAATTTTCATGTGTGTTCTTTTTTGTATTTTATTAGTCTTTCGTACTTGTTGTCATCTACCAATAAATAAAGATCAGTAGGAAAAAGCTTACTAGTACTCTCATACAAATCATGAATATATGTATATATATAAATTCATCTTATACCCAATTACAAAGAAAAGCAAATAATAGATAAAGTACAAACGAACGAATGTGATCGACTTGCGCAAGTGATTGTCGCTAATATTGTCAAGATGGAGGAAAATAAAACAATATATAAATGCACAATACCAACCGATAATGAGCGAACGAGCCGTCACTCTGGCTTCGACTCGTCACTTGTGTTCACAATTCATTTCTCTTTTCTTTCGTCTCTCTTTAACGGAGTGAACATATATACACATATATACATAGGTTGTTGACACGCATATCATCATACTCTTATTTGTCTGAAATAAGTATAAATTTCGAATGGCAACTACAAGGAAAAGTAACAAAACAAATAAAACTATTCTACTTTCAAATAAAGAAAAAGAAATATTAACTGTATTACATGAACTGTATGGTTAGTTATTCATTTATCTACCTAATTAGTTCAATATTTCTTGATTTTTGTTTTTATTCTTCTAGCTAACGATTTTAAAAAATACGGTGAACATATTAAACGAGAATCAAATATACCAACATCAATCAAAAATATTTATAACTCGTTAGATCAACGTCAAGCTTATCAGCGTGTCTTCAATTATTTTCAAAAGCAAAAGTAAAGTGATGTTCGATTTCATATATTAATCATACTAATATTCGATTGAAAAGAAATAATTTCATATACTTGACTTTTTAAAGATTACAAATATCGAGCAAGAAACAAAAAGAAAAAAAAGAATTTTTTTTCTTTTTTTAAATCTTATTAGGACAAGATTACGAACAAGCTCAAGATCAAATCATCTTAAGAAACCTTCTCGTTCATCAATTCGTAATAGAGCACAAATAGATGAACCTATGTCTATCACACAATCTGATTCTGAATCGGATGACAATGATCAGCAAGAATCGAATAGTTCAATAATGGAAAATCATATGAATGAAACAAATGAATATCAACATGTGACAACTAATAATGATAATGATGTACAAGAAATTGAAGTATCAGAAAATAATTCAATTCATCAAGAAAAACAAACATTACCATTAACAAATAATGGACATAATGAATCAATGTTTATTCCTCATTCTCAAACTTCTACAAATTTAACATTTGATTTATTATCAATACGTACAAATATTCAACAAGGTAAAAATAATTATTATTAAATAAATATCAAAGAAAATAAATTTATTTAGCTTTACATGAACTTGATCGTGCTATATTAGAATCTGAAAGCATAACTAAAGATTCCAACAATAAACAACAACAACGATTATTAATTAGAAATAATAATTTCTTAACAAATACTTATGATAATCGAAAATTAGATGATATTGTTCGTTCATTATCAAATGTTGTTAATCAACAACAAGAAAATGTTCATTTAATTCTTAATGAATCATCGAGTTTATTAAGTAATGAAAATAATAAACGATTAGAAAATATATCAACGACAAAACAACAATCAATTACACATATTCTTCAACGTTTAAATACTCTTGTTGATCGAGGAAATTCTATTTATGATAAGTTAGAAAAGATTTTATCAGAGTTTTGAAATATTTGTTTGTTTTTTTGTTTTATTTTTCTCTTCTTAGTTCTAATATGATTAAAACAAAGAATTTTGTAGATATGTATGCATACATATATATATATATATATATATTTCTTTTTTTTTTCTTGTTGTTACATGAAATGCACGAACTTTTTTACAAGACAAATTACTTTGAGAAAAAAAGCTTGAATAAACAGTCATAGATTTGAACGAAAGTTTCTATGTCAAAAAGTATCGAATTATACAATTTGTTTGATAATTTAAACATATTTGACTATTAGAAGACTTATTAGACTTAAACATCAAACATTATATAAATCGATTTTTTAACATAGTTGTTTACTTTTAATTACATAAAAAAGAAAAGAAAGAAATAAGAAATAGTAAAACCAATATCCCTATAAAATCAGATTATTTAATGACTACCTTTAGTTTTAATATCTATTAGATGTAAAGTTTAATTAATTCATCACTAACTGCTGATGGTGTTAATGTTCCAATATCTGTAAACAATAATGTAATATAAGCTGGTGGTGTATAATCAACAAGTGGATGTTCCATTTCAAGATTTTTTTCACTTAAACGTGCTATTGTTGATGCTTTATATTTAAAATGATCAGGTAAATCACGATTATTTAATGGATAATAACGAACAAATTTAAATGATTCTGATGCAACATAAAATGGTTTATTCATTTCATGTGCTGCTATAGCTATATTAAATGTACCAATTTTATTAATAATACCACCACTTTCAACAACAGCTTCAGCACCCATTAAAACAAATGTAACTTTTTCCATAATATATGCAACACTAGCATCTAATATAGATAGAGATGGTATACCAATAGATTCTAATTCATTTTTCATTTTTATACCACTTTTATCGGGTTGTGATTCCGTAACAAATACTTTAAAACGTGTAAATTTTGATGCATATGCAAGTAAAGCAAGAACAACACGTGAATAGGAATGTGTTAATATAATACTACCATCAACAATAAATTCTTGACTATATTCAGAAATACGTTGTCTTGATGATAATGCACGATCTAAAAAAACTTTACCACGTTCAATTAATTTTTGACGACATTCATCAATAGCAAATGTATCAAATTTAGCTAATGTTATAAAACGTAAAAATAATTCACAACCTGATTTAACACTTGGCATTGAAGAATCAGTTTGTGTTGTTAATAATTGTACAGCTGATTTAAGTTCATGTGATAATTCACTCATTGTACCAGCTGATGAACGATTTATAACATCGATTAATGTACGAATAGCTGTTATAGCTACTGATGTTCTATGAAGAAAAGAGAAAGAAATTAATTGAAAATTTATGTAATGATTTCAGATTTAATAATCAATGATATAGACTTTTAATTAGGATTTGTGCTCAGCAGAGAGGGATGGTCACTCTTAAAGTTTGGCGACTCCAAAAATACTCGGAGCCGCAGTTTCGGTTTAGTTTCAAAAATATCACTTGGAACTGTTAGATCATCAGATAGATACGAAAATTTCAAATTTATTTTGAGAAATTTTTCACTAGTGAAAATTTGAGATTAAAGCCGCCACATATTTCAATACGTAAACAAAACAATATTACACGTATATACTGAAACCTTTAATTTCAAGAATGAAGCCTCCTCAACATAGATTTGAGAATGTTTTTATCTGGCTGATGATTTTACAGTTCTGTCGAACTCTAGTCATTTCATTCACTCTCTCTCCAGTTTTGAGAAATTTTCGTCCTTCTTCAGCAAAATTCTAGCATTTTATTCGATGTGTTTTTGCTCACCAATTCTCAAAACAACAAAATCCGTACGACCCTCTTCCCACTCCTGGTGACTTCGGCACACCCTTGCTTTTATTTTCTTGAGTATTGAATGATGATCACAATTATCTTATTTCATTGATAGATAGTTTTCATAAATTATTGAGATAATATTGATACTTTGAACTCAGTTTTCTTTCCATATCGAGCTCGTTGTTTTATAGTTTCTAGCTAATAGTAGTTCCAGGAAAGTAAGTTAACAATATGTGACAAATCTAAAAGTCATCAATGACTATCAATTCATCTATTTTATTGATCATATTTAACAAAACTGAACCGACGGCAATCATTCTCAGTCATTAACTTGAGTGCTGCTTGAAAAAACATTTCATATGCAAATCATAAAAAAGTAACTATGGTTACGGCCTCACATATTTATTGAACTTTATTCATATTCTACAAATGTCATTACTTTTGATCTGAACAACACGTTGAAGGTTCAATATGAATATGAATATGAATATATTTAAATATATAACGATTCAGACAAAGTTGACCCGGTTTATGTTAACTTTGAATAGTTGACGAGTTATATGTGTCCCTTCTGATCTTAGCCGTTCTTTTTTATTTAGTATTACTGTAATATTAGGACTAATTCTATAGCAATAAAATAATCTGTCAGATCGATTAGTAATATTTTATATAGTAGTTATTTTGACGATGAGCAAAAACTCTCAAAAGAGTTTTAATCTTCATACTCAGGTTCTTGAAGTCGAATAGCAGTAAAATATTGTAACGTTTGATCATTTTCCAGATTATCTTGTTGATTTGATGACATTAATATATTATCATGTGTCATCTAAAATATCGATGAAAAAAATAAATAAAACATTTAAAATATACAGAAATAACAAAAGACATATATTTTTGTGAAATGTCAATGTTATTCGAAAGTGAACTGAACAACGTTTACCAAGAAAGCAAAACGTTCTTTTTTTTTCTTCTCTTTTTCAAACGATGTGTTTTTTTTTATATTATTATTGTTCGTCGTGCAGAATTTTAAAGGAGATGCTGCATAATGTTTGATAGGAAAAAAAATCGGGCAAGAGAGAGAGAGAGAGAGAGAGAGAGAGAAAAAATTTGAAAGTATTGTTTTGTTTGTTAATAATTGTTTGACTACTTCAGTCGACATTAAATTGACAGTTGTTGTGAAGTCATACATCATCACTACGACTACTATTTAAGCGAATCGTTTAGCTTTTTTTTTTTATTTAAAAATTAATCAATAAAAATGACTAAAATTCCAATAATTACACAAAATTTTTCATCACCTGATGGTTTTAATGATACACCACTTATGCTTTTACCACAAACATCAGCATTGCCATTATCTGATAAAGATCAAGAAGGTTTTAGTCAATTATTATTACATGATTTACATCGACATCGGCAATCTTATGTTCGAAGTTATACAGCATTTGAAACATTAAAAAAACGACAAGATTTTATTTTACGTCAAGAAAATCTTCGTGCATTACAAAATTTTGATCAACGTATTACAACAAAACAAGATCAATATATAGATCAATCATTTCATTCATATGAACAGTGTTTTGTTAAAGTTCTTAAAGGAAATTCACTAACAAATCGAAATATTCAAGAACAACAAAAACGACCACATACAGCTGCACCATCATTTGATAAATTTCATATTCATCAACTTTCACATATTTCAACTACAACACATGACCCATCACCAATAATACCATTTCAACGTTATCAAAAAACTCATCGACCATCAGTAACATCAAAATATCGAAGTAATACACATATTCATCATTCAGCACAATCATTTCATGATGCATTTCAATCATCAAGTTTTATAAATCAAAGTCAACCATTTCTTTCGTTTACAGAAAGTTATTTACAAAAATATGGTGATCGATCATCAAATAAACTTCAAATAAAAACATACAATGATGGAATGGAAGAAACTAAAGAAAGAAAAAATGAAGACGAACAAATACAATCAATATTAGTTGAATCTAATCCTAAAATAAATCAAAATAAAAAACAAATTCGAAAATCTAAAACACCAGATTTACAACATGTTCGACCGAATGTATCATCACGTAATACAAATACACCTTCATCAACACCACAAATGGGTTTTAATGATGCATTACGAGATGGTTTGACAATGATGAAAGGTAAAAAAAAACAAACATTACTGTTTTTTTTTTCTTTATATATTTTCATATTAGATGATAATGATCATAATAGTAAATTGTCTGTAATCAATGAAAAACGTCGTTCATCTCAACAATCAACAAGTCAAATAAGTAATAATGATATTAGAATAAGTATAAAACGACCAAAAACAGGAAAAAAAAAACAAGTTACTACTGATTTAACATTTGGAAAGAAAACAGAACCATTAACAACTAAAACTACTGATAATGATCTACTTAAAAAAGCAATGAGTGTTCAAAATTATGGAAATAATACTACTATTGATTTAAATCATTCTTCAAATATAGAACGACTTCAATTACCAACAAATACTAATAACTTATCAATAAAAAAAACTTCTTCAACAGTACAACATTCATCAATCGATTCAAATGATGATAGTCTAAAAATAAAACAATATTTTGATGATATTGATACACAAATGGCAACAAAAACACCACCACCACCACCACCACCACCACCGCCAACACCACCACCAACTATTGAACAAATAGAACCATTGAAAGAACAAGCAATAATCGATAACAATAAAGATCAAATTGTTGATCTTCTTACGACAATAGAAAATAGACAACCTACATTAGATCAATTAACACAACAAAAATCCGAATTAGAAATCGTAGATAATCGTAAACGTATAAGAAAAGGTGCATTTGATCCACCTGAATCAATGAATGATATGATTGCATTTGAATTAGGAATTATGGGTAGTAGTCGTAGTGCAATGAAAAAATCAAAATTTCGTTTAGGAAAAGAAAATCAACATGATGATGAAAAAAAAACAATTCCTGAAAATCAAGAAACACTTGATTTATTAGAAAAAGTTCGACAAGGTGCAACTGGTTTATCGATTGGTCAAATGCCTATATCACAACAAGTTCGTATTTTGTATTTGAATTAAAATTAATTTCAATTTAATTTATTTTTCTTTCAGGGTTGCCGTTTTGAATTACCATTTGATTTAAAATTACTTGAAACTTTAACACCACTTGATTATCTTAGTAAATATTGTCGTTTATCATCACGTCGAAATTATCAATTTAAACGTGTATTTGATAAATATCGTAATAATCAATATCGTTTTGAATCAAATAATTTATATACATCAATTACAGATATACATAGTGAAAAATTTACACGTTCACAATATGATAATTTATGTCAATTAATTAATATTGGAGATGAACAACATCAATTTACATTTGATACATTTGCTGGAATATTAGCATTATGTGAACGAATTTTATATGATTCAAAAGCACCTCCGAGTGGTGTTGATGAACAAGATTTAGTAAAAGATACATTAGAAAAATGTGATTTCGATTGTTTAGATCGAAAACTTGATGGACTTAGTATTAGTGAAAGAATGAGAAAATTATTAAAAGCACTCTAACATGAAAAATGATCAAAAATCAATTGTACACAAAAGCGCAAACACATATAATATGATATAAAATTAAACTAATTTTGTTTATGAAATTTTACAATTGTAATAAGACCAATAGTGTAAAAAAAACACAATAAATATTTTTACTATAGTTATTTATATCTACTCAGCTGAAAGCTGAATAGTTTATTAGAACAGATTTTAACTCGATAAATTTTAAAGACATCTTATAAAGAAATTATTTTACTTTTTCATAAAAAGATAATTCATAATATTCGATTTTAAATTTCGATTATTCTCTAGTATTTCATTATAATATTAACATAAATATTTGGTTAACAACTAAAACTTTTCAGAGATATCCATAGGATTTACTCATTTGTCGAAGAACCCATAAATATCAACTATGAGTTTTTTTTCTCAGAATATTTCTGTTCTAATTATAGTCTATTTGCTTAAAATGTTTATATTATCCTATGACTTTCGCTAACTTGGTCGAAGCATACGACCATATGTATGATAGAATACGGCAACATTACGACATCTTTACGGCGTTTTACAGTGAGAATACGGGATCGTATACAATCAGTAACACTAAACGGCACAAAAAAACGGTCATTTACGATAACATTACAGTAATTGATGATAATACGTACTAATTGACTTGACTACAATGTAAGAGTACTTTCGAAGTAAAATATCTATAGAAAATATTCTATCTTCGTTTCCACTCTATTCTAATTTATACATTAATCTACCATAGGGCAGAATAATATACAATTATTCATCAGGATTCTACTAGCCAAGTCAAAAAGGCACAATCGTAAACGACTGTATACGAAGAAAACAAAACGCTCATTTACTGCCTTTGTACACGGAAGCTATATACGATAACAAAGATCTACGATCACAATACGAGATCATATAATACGGCACAATATGGACTTCGTATTCGTTGATCTGAGTATTTAATCATGCCACATCTTCACTTGTATGATCAAAACTAGAGAGTCATAATGTAGCATTATGATGTATGTATATAATTCTATTTCAGATTTTTCTGTCAAAACCAGAAAAGTTTAAAATGCGCAAAACGATACTATAATCTAGGTGGTCGGAATTTCAACAATTGAAGAATTCCAGAGGATGTGTTGACGAATTAAGGGTGAACTTTCACAACCTTTTACAAAACAATATTCATATAGGATACATGTGAGAACTGAAGATAATACTCTTACAATATATGTATCATAACTTATACTCATCGATGTAGTGAATAAGAATTTTTCTTAATCCATATCTAACTCAGAGTCGACTTGACGAAATTTCGAAGTCCCAATAATCTATTGTGACGTATGCAAAGAACGAAGTGAAAGTTTAATCGTGTTCTATTGATTTTTATCATCGAAACTATATAATCTCATTGATTTACAGAAGAAAAAAAAGCGATCGATAACTATTGAATGTTGTTAGTCATTAAACAACAAAAAAAAAAGATCCACTGAATAAATATCTACACTAATCTAATTAGTGTCAACAAAAATTTTCGAAAAAAAAAACAAATAAAGACAATAAAATAAGGATTCACTGTTCTTTTATTTTTTGCACCATCATGAAAACAAAGAGAAATCGCGCATGTATATAAGCGAGTGTGAATGTGACAAGTAACGAAGAATAAGAACGAAAAAAAAAAAGAAAACAAAAAGAGTTTGAATCATATGAAAAGCAAAAAAATGAAGGAAAAGGAGCAAACAAGCGTAAGTGTGAATGTACATATACAAGCATATAATAATAAGTAATGAATGAAAAATAGTATGAATACAAGAACTACTACGTTAGAGTTTTGTGTTCTAATCGATTTGCATAGGTAAAAGTAAAACGTATGATGAGAGAAAAAAACAAAGATTATCAAGATATTAAGAAAAGACAAAAAAAAGATAATGATTAGATTTTATTGGAATGATTCGATTAGTATAGCAAAAGAAAAACAATTTTTTGATTAATTTGACCATTCACCGTCGCTTGAATCACTATCATCTTGACCTTCAGGTCCAACTAAAAAAACAGATATATATATTTATACTGAACAAAAAAAATAATAATAATTTACTAAGTTTTTCTCGTCGTTCAGCAAGAATTTTAAGAATATTCATTGCCATTGTATCTTGTGTTGCTGGACTTGCATCACCTGTTGATGACATGTCTGGAATTGATGGTCGTTCCGATCGTTGCTAAAATTAATAATAATAATAATAATAATAATAATAATAATAATAGACACAAAAGACAAAATCATATACTTTTAATTTGGATGTACCAAAATTACGAATATCATCAAGTAAATTTTCACGTCCTGCACTTACAACTGGAACAGCAGGTGAATTTGTTACTGGTCCTGATGAAAGAGCTGAATTCATAGGAGGAGGAGGAGGAGGTGGTGGAGGTGGAGGAGGACCACCACCAGAACTTTGATTTTGATTCATTAAATTAGCTGGCATTGGTGGTGGTGGGGGAGGAGGTGGCGGTGGTGGAGGTGCAGGCGGAGCGTGTGCTCGATGGGAATCGGTAACACTAAAAACAAATAAATTGTTTATTGTTATTAGAAGATATAAGACACTTACGATCCTCCTGGAAACGGTGGCGGTGGTGGAGGTGGAGGTGGTGGTGGTGGAGTCAATGGAGCTTGTGTTGTTGGATATGTATTATCAGATGCACGAAAACCTGGTCTTGGTGGAATACTAGGAGGTGGACTAAATAATCCTTGAAATGGTTGAGGACGACTGTTATTTGATTGATTAGAAGCTGGTGATGGAGCTGATATATCTTGATGTGGCGCACGACCACCATTATTCCGACCTATAGTTTGATAACTACGTGGAGGAATTTCTGGTGGTGCTGTTGACATTTGTTGTTGTCCTTGATTATTACCATTAGGCACAGGTACTAGTGGTTCTTAAAAAAAGAGTTATCAATTTATTTGAATTTTCTAAAAATAAATGAATATAAATTCTATTTACTTTCTAAAAGTTTTTGTAAACCACCATCTGTATTTACAAGTTCTCGTACGTAAATTTTTTCTTCTGCTGATATATGCATGCCAGCTAATACTTGTTCAAACATTTGCTTTGTTGCATCATCATTAAAAAAACTCTATAGAATTATAATGAAAATAAAAGAAAGAAGAAGAAAACAATTTAACATACTTCCTTAGTACCAATATGACTAACATGAACCAACCTAAGAAAAATAATTTCTAAGTTATTTCAAAACATAATTTTATTTAACATACGTCGATTGAATTGGTGCTGATATATCAGGACGAGCAGGTTTTTTTTTATTTCGACCAATTGTTAAAAAACCTTGATTTTTTACTGTATTTTGTTCTATATTGAAGAAGAATATTACCATATGAAATTAATTAATAAAAAAAAAAAGCAGCATCATTTTATTTTGTTTACTTTTTGGAGTATTGGCAGTGGTTGTTACTGGTACTACTGTTGGTGTTGGTATTGGTGATGCTACAATGTTTGCTGCTGGTTTCATTCCATTCATTAAAGCGGATACACTTGGTGAAGTCGATGGTGGACTAATAACTGGGGCTGGTGCTTTTGGTGGTGCATTAGTTTTTTTCTTTTCTATGAAATTAACAAAATTATTTCAAAAATTTTCGAAAATGAAAAACTTTTTAACAAATGTTAGAAATTCATAGCGAACGATCTATTTTTATTCGGTTCGAATCACATAGGTATATTCTTTCTATATTGTTATTCAAAATGAGATTGAATGTTATTTATTGTTATTTATGATTAATACAGTTCGAAGAAGAGATCTCTTTTTCTTTTCTTTTCGGTAGTGATAGACGACAATGAGTTCACAACTTGTGAAATTAATTGTCAAATATAATAAAATTAATTTTGTTGGAAGAATAAAATTTTTCTATAGAATTCTTCAAAAAGAAATATGAATGATATAAAAGTTAAGTGCTCTTTTTCTTGTCATAGATACAAATGATTGTTCTTGTCATCTATAGAATGAAAAAGAATAATCAGAATAAAGAATTCATCTGTAAATCGAAATCGAACATTCAGAAAAAGACTTAGGCTAGACAAAAAAAAACTTCAAAACATACTTCAATAAGAAGCTTTCTTGGCCTCGTTGTTTCAATAAATACAATACTGGCAATATTTCTAATTCTTTTATTTGCTAGGATATATGTCAAGCTTTTCTGTTTACATCAGAAAACATGTTTAGGAGAATAAGATTCATGAGGAATAGACGCCATGTTCAAGACTATTGACATTTATCTAAACCACGGAATTTATTCATTGTAGTGACCTGAACTGGGTCGAGTACTCGGTTCAGAGCATGAGCTCGGGTGTCGGACATGAAAAAAACATAGCAATTCGGCTTCCGGATATAATCACATATCAGAACTCGATTCGACAATTAATGAGATTTCAACGTTTTGAAATATTTTGTTTTTTGATTACAGACGGGAATAACTGAACACATGAAGAGAAAGATGAATTATCAAAAAGGTGAACATATATTATCGTGATAGGAAAAGCAGTCATGTATGTATTTACAACTGTTGACATTTGGCATCAACACTGCGTTTCATTCGAGCGTCAACGAGCAAACGTATAGTTAAAAGATACTGAATGGATGGATTTTAAAAGCAGAAAGACACCAAGTGAATCCTGAATCATTTGCTTTTTTTGCGAAATTTAAGATGATCTCTTTTTGTTGTTGTTGTTTATAGAAGAAATTAACTAGTGCACTTTTTTATATGAAATAAAAACTTAAAAACCATACTGTAAAAGTATCTACCGGATATCGCTTAGCTTCGGTCGCAAAAATTATATCCCTGCAGGTAAGTACTTCATTGATAGTGTATCATATATCTTAACTGTACCAAACTCGAGTCATAATTCTGAAAAATCATTCCTCATCTTAGTCACTTGTATATCTTCAACATAATTCTTTCAGGTTGATGATAAGATATATATAACGTAATTTATAGAAAAAGTTCGGAAGTTAATGTTCAATTTATGAGCTGCGAAATAAAGTCTTGTTTCGTAAATGAAATAATTTCTATTATACAAGTGATATTTTTTCTTGTTAAAATCTCTCTCTTTGATGATCATTTCATCAAGAAAAATATGACTTAAAAAAAAAAAGGTTAAATCTAATGTTAGAAAACTTTTTAGAAAAACCTTTTTTACTTTGACGATCTTCTTGTTTTGAATGAAAATGATGAGAGAATGTTTGTGCTTCATCACGATCAACAAAATTTATTCCAATTTTACAATTCTACAAATTCAAATAAATAAATAAATAATCATTCAAAACAACAATAAAAAGAATTGAACTAACGGTTCCATCAAATGTATAAAAAACATCTAAGGCTTTTTCAAGACGAAGTGATGCTGGTACTAATTCTTCATAAATTGATTGTCTGGACTTAAATAAAATAAAATTTTACATTTTAAAAATTAAAAAAAAGAAAAAGAAACTAAAATATTTACTCTAAGGTCATATAATCGAAAACAATAACTTCGATTACCATAATCTTTAACAAAACAAAAAACGCCACATGCTTGTTTTCTCCAGGTACCATTATAACCATGTAAAACTTGTGCAACAGCTGTTGCTAAAGTCTAATAAAAAAATATTCAAAAACAAAATAATTGCAATTCAAATTCAAATTTTTGCTTTTTACCACACAACTTGATCCAAGTATATCATATAAACATTGTAATTCATTTGTTAATAAATTTTTTGATGGATTATGTGTTGGACGTTGTTGTCGTACTACTCCTTCTCCACTATTCATTATGTTTGATTGAGGATAGTGCGGCGAATTATTTTGCTGCACTAGAGTGCTCATTGACTAACTGTAATCTCAAGATAATAATAATGAAATTATTATCATTTAAATAACAACAAAATAATTTTCAACTATTGTTAAATATAAAAGGAAAAGAAATCTTTTTTTTTTTGTATCAAACTACCAAGCTATGATAATTGATATTATTCTTATCGTTCTTGTACTGAATGAATAACAAAACAATATAGTTGGCTATTGACAACAGTGATTCATCAGATTTCATACACGTCTCGTTATGTCTTTCAATTTATTCATAATTGGTGAATTAAATATTAAAATAAATAAAAACTAGAAAACATAGCTTATTATCTACTTTATTCAGTAAAATAGAGTCGATTATTTTTTTTTTCAAATGTAAAACCTATAGTCAACTAAACAGATGTCACTAGTATTGTATATATCCGATATCACTATAAGCCACGGTTAATTAGCACGAATGAAAAAAAAAAATAAAAATAAACTATACTAATCTTATCATTGAGAGAAAAAATAAAACCTAAGATTTAGCTTTGCATTGCTCATAGGTTTTTGTTGTAGGGATAATTTTCTAGCCAACTATTACGTCTTTCAAATTGGAGAATGATTACAAAATATGCTTAAGACGATTGTAAACATGAATATTTCTCACCTAAGAGTAATGGGTTAAAATCCCTTTACTTGAAACAAACTTTACCGATCATTTTATGAAAAAGAGCCCGACATACGTTTTTCTTTCCTATTTAATAGATGGCTTTATTTGCATAGCAATATGTGACCTGCATTGCCAATGAGTCATTGCTTTAACGTACGCCCATTGCTTTTTATTTTATATAATCGCAAAGAATAATTCTAATCTTTTTAAATTTTATTAAGAATCATCTGACTTTATTTAACATTCAGAATTATAGATAACAAAAAAATATATATATATATTATAGAAATATTATGTTTCGATCAAAAGAATGGAGTCTAGAATATAAAAACAAAAATATATATATATAGAAATGAGAGATTTCTATATTAGATGATCTTACATCATTTTTAAGACGACATGGCACGATATTAACTGTAGCCGTTCGTGAAGAAATGGGAATAGGAGCAGGAAGAAGATTTCCATCGGTAATATTTTCTTTATTGTCAATTGTCATTAAACGTGGTTGTTGTTGTTGTTGTTGTTCTTTAATAGCAAGTTCAAGCTTAATTGCAGCATCAGTTTTTGGTATTGCTATAGGCGGTGGTGGTACAATTGTTTCACATTCGAATTTATCAACTAAATATTAAAATAAAAACGATACGAAAAATGAAAACTGCTTTAAACAAAGTTTATGAAGACTATTTGATAAAACTGTTATTTACAAATAATAAAAATCCAATCATAGTTTTTAAATTTTAATTCTATTGAAGATTTTCATTACCTGATTGTGTAATCATTTGCCAATCATACTCAAGATTTTTTGTCATGACATCAATACGTTGTGACTGTTTGATCAAAAGTGATATTGAGTCATTTGTGATTAATGATGATGAATCAAATTTATTATTCATGTCTTGTAATATTAAATTCATTTGATTAATATCATGTTCAATAGATCGAAGTAAATGATCACATTGTTGTTCATATTCATCTCGAACTTGACTAAATATACATTGTAATTTTGTTTCTAATAATTGTCGAATTTCATGTCCATGTTGAATACATATATTATGAATGTGCTATGAAATATATAGATAAATAAAGATTTCACTATAACAAAAAAAAAATAAGAAGACTAAAATACCTGAATTAGAGTAGTATTTTGTAATTTTGTATTTTTCTGATTAGAAGTATTGTTAATATCAGTTAAAGATTCAATGAGATGAGTAATCTGCAAATTAAATTCATTCATAAAGATTTTCTTGTAAATTATTATGGGTTTTTTTACAGTAAGGGAGAGTTTTGACAAATCAATAAAAACTTTCCAGTTTAACTTATTTATGAAATTGATCATGGAATCATAGTTTCATATTATGACAAATCATCCGATTGATAAAATTTTTCTCGTTTTAAATTCTCGGATAGAAATTTTCAGATATATAGTTAGTTCTTATTGGATCTGCGGAATCTACCTGTTTGCGCACCCACGCGTGTAGGAGAAAGTTTTAGGAAAACTATCGCCTACATGAAAACTTTTTAATGTGAAAAATTAGCTAATCAAGTTTTCCCTTCTCAACAGAGAATTATCCAACTGTTTTTTATTCAATTTCTTTCAACATTCAAAACATATCTCCTTCGGCATGTATATGTTCTATATTACATTTTGTTTTACTTCGTTGTGTGCTCTAAATCCGCGCAGTATTATAGCATTTCGTGTAGTTGTGTCATTATTTAGGTTAACTTTTATTTTGTTTTTCCTAATACACATAACAAACTGTTTGACACAAGTCGCGACCGAAACATAACAAGTTATCAAACCTTGTTATTCTGTTCACTTTCATTCTCAGCTTCGAATCCCTATCATTCTTATTCCTACGCTTAACTCTTCACCTTGCCCTTAGTGTTTCTATCATGATTCGAGGCAACTACTGCCATTGTAAAACACAACTTAAACGGAGTGTTCAAGTATTTTTAAGCCTTGGTTCAGTTGTAATAAATCATATTTGAAATGATCAAGACTATTAATATTATTCGATGATTGATGGAACTAATTTAGTTTTTGACATAACATTATTTTGAGTGTGTAGTAGCCTTGTTTTTCTCTTGGCTAGTTGTTAAAAAATGAGAACAAAGAACTGATCTTATATAGTTATAGTCAGGGGTGGCGCGACCGGGGGGTAGTCGGGGGTGCGACACCCCCCCCAATCTTCAAAAATTTCTGTTTTTTTGCTCAACAAAATCAGGAAATTTTCTTCCATTTGTCACCAAAAACAATGTTACACCCCCCGAAAAATTGCAGACTTCGTCTTTCTAGTCCAAAAAATTTCGCTACACCCCCCCAATGTTGGTTGACTCGCGCCACCCCTGGTTATAGTATATGTTTAACTTTTAGTTGAATCTAGGAAGTTGTAGAGTTCGCGAGTGTACTTAATTAAAATCTAGTTTGTCTTGGCAAGCTTCAATCAAAAAGAATCTTTAAGCTTATGTTTATTTGAGTAATATTTTTATCAATGTTTATTTTTGTTTTTGAATTTGACCTGACTCATAAATAATATTTAAAGTATGAATATATTATGTTATTAAGTTTTATTGAATTAGATTTCAACCAAAAATAATGAAAGACTTTTTCGCTTATGTATTTCCTGTGGTAGAATAATAAATGTTTGCTTTCGAAATTGAATGCTCAAAAATAACATAAATTGATTTGCTTGTATATAAAAATATTTCCGGACATCATTTTCTGATGTTGATACAGAGAAAGTTATTTTCACATACATTAGAATATGAATAGTGACAATGAATATCCTGTCTACTTAAAAATAACATATCGGTCTACCCAAGTGTTACAGAATTTCATTGAAATGGATATTGTAATATCTATTTCTCGTCAATGGCAAAGCAAATTCTTTGAAACTTTTATTATAGATAGAGACCATTGAGAGCTACTATCGATGAAAATTTTATTGATTTTCCATTAGTTCGAGCTGAGCTATTCAGAAAATACCAACCGTAACGGAATTTCAAAAAAATGAAATTTTTATTTAATGGAGCCAAGAATTTAGCATTTTTGCTAAGAAATGAAGCGACATATAAATAAACTTTCTATATAAAAATTTCTTTGTTTTTAATGAGCTTTCAGAGTATCACGTGGATTAATAACTAATTAAAGAATCTTTTTTTCTGTTTATCGATTCTTGTTTAATGATGTATTTCACTACCTTCTGTTACACAAAATTTTCGAGTTGTCCATTCTAAGAAAGATTTCACGTGTCCGGAGTACTTAATGTTGTCTTAGGAATAGGAACGCTGTCATTTCAAATATTGTCGATCGCTTTCTTTGCAATGGTAGACTCAGCTTTCTTCACTATTAATGTCGAACGCTTTCTATGTATGGATGATTGATGGCTAGTCATGCCGATTTATGTGTTGCTCTCTTAATGGAAATGAAAATCATTTCATAGTTTTTCATCTAATTAAAAACGAAATCTGTCTAAGTTTAGTTTTACCTAAAACTTTTTCATTTTAGTACCAGATTCTGCTCCTTTGATTCTCATAATAAGTGAAGTTTAAAAGAAATATTTTACCAATGCTTCAAGTTTATTTTGAGTTATGAAGACTTGTTGTTCATGTTCATTAAGGCATGCAGTTCGGATATTGTTTAAATCAAGTAATTCATTACCATCATTTGTTGATTTTTCGGATATTTGCATTAAACTCTATATATATATATATATATTTATTTATTTATTATGAATATTAATAAAAATAATCTTATTGTCAATGATAGAAAGAAAAAAACCGCTTACTCGAAATTCATTCGTTAACTAAAACAAAGATGAAATATAAATACGGTTTGAATACGTAGAAATATATACGTAGGATGTTCAAAACGTTTCCGGACTGACTCTATTTAAAAACAACACCAAGCGCTGCTGTACTTAGATTGTTGTCTGTGTATATAATTCGTACAGTCCTCTATCGATAAACATTATGGATTCTAATCGATGAAACATTTATGGGCTAATATAACAATCTTCTTTAGATCACCTTATATCCACTGATGGAAAATGAAAAAGTTGAGCAACTCTCAGTAGTAAAGCTTCTTGTTTTGGAAAGACATACTCCATCATGCACCACGATTTTTGAATGAGCTCGTCAGTTTATAGGTAAAGAACTAAACATTGATGATAGCCCTAGCTTTGGACGGTCAATTATTGCAACGAATGAGAAAACTATTAAAGCTATTGAAAGCCTAATCATCGAAGACCAACTAATCACAATTCAGCAAATAGTGGACACTCTAAGCATTTGACATGATCAACAGTACGAGCATATTAAGAATTTTTAGGTCACTATTCTATTGAGGAAAACGATTGTGTTTTTCGAATTATAACTGATGATGGATTGTATGAAAAAAGAAAAATCGACTAACGAAGTATTATATTCGTTTTTTCTGAAATCATATAGAAATAATTCTCAACGAACCTGTATCGATGGATGTAACAATAATGAAGGCATATTAAATCTGACTTCCAGTTTTAAAAGACCATCTCAAAGGAAACCACTACAAGAATCAAAATTCATTAGATTCGATAATACATCATTGTCTGAACAATCTGTCTGATGATGACTCTATAGTAGAGAGATGACACTTCAACAAAAGAGAACATACAATTGCAACGTGTTTTGTTGTTTTTGAATAAAATCAGTTCGGGAACTTTTTGAACGTCCTATGTAAATTTTACCATTTGATTGAAACGTTGTGTTAAAAACTTATGTAAATTAAGCCATAATGATTGATTTGATAGATCACATGAAGCTAACTATAAATAAAAGGAAATATTTTAAAATATTATCTTATGATATTTGACAAACCATTTCTTGAAAACAAGTTTTCATTTTGATTAATGTGTCTTCTTGAATTTGAATTAATTTTTCTTGATTTTTATCTACGTCGTTTTTTATTTCTACAACTAGCATATCAATTAATAGTCTTAATTCACGATCAAGTTCAGTCTTAGAAAAGAGATATATGAAAAAAAGAAATTTAGAGAAAAAAAAAGAACAATTCAACTTTGAAATTTACTTGAAAATGATTATGAATATTATTTAATTCTTCAAATATTGAATGAAAATTTTGAAAAGCTAGCGATAATACAGCTCGAATTTTTTCATTAAGTATATAAATTTGTTGACCAATATTCGTTGATATTGTTAATACTTTTCCTTAAAAGAAAAATTATTTAAAAATTATAATAAATCTCTATCTTAAAGATCTACAATATGGATGCTGAATTTAAAAAATAAAACATTTTTCGAATAGATTAGATTTTATGTTAGTTAATTTCTCATCAACTATTCTCAATGAAGTTTCATTGATTGAATGGATGAATAATCGGAATTTCGCTTTTCTTTATTTGAAAAAATATTCAAATTAGAATTTACATAGTAAAATCATACTATATTAGCCGCGTAACAGAGATTTTAACAGTGGGAGATCTTCGGATGATCAGGCTCTGTCTGATAAAGGGGTTTGTGATAGAGTTTAGCTGGCATGGCTTCCATCATTGGGAGAGTTCAAAGCTCCGGTGACGAACTTGGCTTCTCCCTTGGTTACGCCACTACACTAAATTTTGAATTCATGAGGAAGCATACTTGACTGTCGGACGCTGTTCGACTTCATATTATGACTACAAATAGATCTTAGTGAGACTAGGTCAAGCTTATAAAGATTCAGGGTTCATGACCTACTGATAAAAACTTATAACCGTTTAAATGGAATTTTTACTAAGAACAAGGTATTTTCGAAAAATCCCAAAACAAAAAGTTTCAACCTGAAATTGTGCCTATAGACACGCTTGATATTCCTTGAAGTTTCGACAAAAACGAAAACGGCTTTCTTGAGATATTCTATTTCCAAGTAGACCCAATTATTGTGCCCTCCTATCATAAACTGCAGCTTTTTCTGGATATTGAATGTGTCGAGAAAGACATGTTCATTTTCATTGAAACTTTCAGGACTATCAAATGTGTCTATAGATGCCAAATTTTAGGTTGAAACTGTTTGTTTTTGGATTTTTCGGAAATACCTTGCTCTCAAGAACAATTTTCAGTAAAACAGCCATAACTCTTGATCAGCAAGTCATGGGCTCGAATCATTTTAAGCTTGACTTAGTCTCACAGAGGTCTATTCGTAGCCAAGATATAAAATCGAACGGTATCCAATAATTGGATATGTTCCCTCGTTAATGAAGGATTTAGAGGGAACGTACCGAAGGCAATCAGTTCTCACTTCTGAAATATTTTTTGATTTTTTTTCTAGGCAGAAATAGTCCAAAAATGAGTCTGTACAACTTCTAATGGACTTCAAAATATGTTTTTGTGACCATGATCGTCACCACTTTCCCAAAATTCTAGATCCGCCATTGTCTATTCCAAGATGTTTCCATGATGATTGACACCTATTTTATCGGTATGCTACGAAATTTTCCTTTTTTAGAGAAATACTTAATAGTATTTCATATGTTTACCAACTGATTGACTACAAGTTGAAAGTATCGTTCGAATGTCCTCATTTATTCGTTGAACATTTATTTGTAAATTGTCTCCAATCGACTGACAATCTTTAATATATTGATCAATTAATGTTGAACCAGCTGAACGTGTTGAACAAAGTTGTTGCATAGCATTTACAACTTGTTCACGAAACTAATATAAATATAAAAAAAAAACAAAAGGCAATCATTTATATTTTGCACTAATGTTAATCATCCTACTGTTAAAGCTTTATTAGTTATTTGAATAAGTTCATCATATCGACATCGATTTAATGTTAACATTTCTTTTCGTTCATTTATTTCTAATCTTAATTCCTAGATAAAATAAATATTCATTTGAATATGTATCAAAGATATTAATAGAAATTTCGTACTTGTTGTTGTGTTGCTAATTGTCGACGAAGTGATTCAATTTCTGTTCGATACTAAACAAGAACAGTTTTAAAAGAAAACAAAAATAAAATATTTTACTTGTTCAATCTGTTGTTCATTATTATTTAATTTTGCTTGATTATTATCTGATAATGTTTGTACTAACGTCATTTGATTTTTTAAAGCTCTAAAAAAAAGCAATATTTGTTTTTTATAAATAAAAAAAGCAAAAAAATATCATTTTTTACAAATATTGTGAATAAGGTATTCCATCAACTTCTCGTTTAGCATCAAGTTCTTGACGTAAACGACGAATTTCATCGACATATTCCTATAAAAAAATTTTATTGAAAAAGAAAAAAAAATGACAATCATTTAATCATATACACGAGCAACATCTTTTGATGATAATTGATTAATTTCCGGACGAATTTTTAATGAACGAGCTCGATGACCATATTCAAGTGTACTTAGAGTTTCCTATGAATTTTTTAAAATAAATTTTTCAAATATAAATCTTAACCTACGGTTTCATTTGCTGGGGAAAGTGTTATAATAATTGAAGTTATTGTTTTCCCACATAGTGAATCTTGTAGAATTCTTGTTAATTTTGAATCCCTAAAAATATTTTATATACAACACGTTACAAAAGTTGATACGACTAGATATATGCGAGACCATCAGGACAGAAATCGAGACTACGAAACAAAAGAATAAGTATTGAAAAATTATTCTAGATTTGATAAGTATCAATTCTGGAATAATTCTCTCTAGATCAGAATCAGGATTACACCAAATTTACCGAGACCGGGACTAAAAAAAGCTTGATCATTTACATATACATACGTCAATTTGTGTATCTATCAAAGATTTTAAAAATGAAACAACAAGCGAACTTGATAATGGTTAAACAATTGTAAGGCAGATTTGTAAAAATAAAGAATCGTATTAAATATAAACTTCTTGATGAAGCATGATAACAACTAATTTCGATTGTTTATTTGATAATAAGAGATTTATACTTTAAACGAGTCAAGAGTTCTGTTCAATTCTTGATATGAATGTAGACTTATTCAACTAAAAGTATTTTCTTATATTTCTTTAATTTATTTTTTATGTCAGGGTCAAGCTTTTTGAGCTCATCTGTAGGTGTATCGTTACAAAAGTTCGAATGAAAAACAAACGTGAATATGTCTGTAACAATTCAAGTAATTGATATGAAACTGTTTAAAATTTTTTTTCGGATAACTGTATTTGTATCGACTATTCAGAATAATCTTGCAGAATTCAAACACACAAGTCCATTGTTGTCAAATAATTTGAACAAAGACATTATGTAGAGTTTCTTTTTTTTCAATTCACATTGTTAACTAAACCTGATCGTTAGTGAACATCCCGAAAATATAATGTTTTATGTATTTTCATATAGAAAAATTCAAGTGACGCTAAGTGTGGTGAATGTGAAAGCCATTGAATCAAACAACTTCTTTGAATCTACAATGTTAGGAAAAAATGCTTTCCCAGAAAAGAAAGTACTTTTCATTGTCAATATGCAAAGAAGCCATATTTTGTTATACTATTTCCTAAGCTCGGTCATACTGTGGGTATATTCTTGAGTAAACTTTTGTAACACATCGAACACATAATGTTAGTACAATTTTACAAACAATATGAAATTCATCAGCATTGTTCATTTGTCATGGTTTTATAGCTTTAAGAAATTCTTCATGTGATATTTCTTTGTGAAATTCGATAAACAGTTTTTATTTTACAATTACAGGTAACTCAAACTCGTTCATTGATGAAACTATTAGGATTCTAATATTAATAAGTATATACATTCTGTTTAAAATATACTGAATAAAACTTTACGAAGCTTCTAATAAAATCATAAGAATTTTAAGCAATTATCTTGAACTTTTAAAAAAGTGTTCACGTTTCTTTTTCGTTCAACTTTTTCAAACACCTTATTGATATATAAAGAAAAGAAATTTCTCTGTCGTTTATACCGGTAACAAACATGTTTTTCATTTGAAATTAATGCTGTTATAACACGTCCGAGTGTTAATAAACTTTGATTGATTGTTCCAGCTTCACGAGCACGTTTATCGGTTGCACCTGAACGAGATATGTTTTCTGAACCAGCTAAATCAACCTGAAAGAAGAAAAAAAATGCAATAATTAACTATGAAATCAAATCAATATAAATATAAAATAAACACACTAAATGAAGTTTGCCTAATCTCATATCTCCTTGAGCATCTTTCATTGTAACAGTCATTGTAAATATTGAATGAGAACGACTAGAATAAATCAAATGAAAATATTTTATTACTATAGATTTAAAAAGAAACGAATTTTTCACAATTGTATTGCAAATAAATTGAGAACAATAGCAAGATTTATTTAATAATCAAATAAGAATTCAACTTTTAATAAACATTTTCAAAACAATTGTCTGAAAAACAAAATCTATTAGATTTCGAGTTGTAAAGTACTGATAATGCCAGTTAAATAACCAAGTTCTATCGATTTAAATAAGATCGATAATTCTATTCCGAAATTATAAAATAAAGATGTAGTAACTTTTATAAATGTTAATCTGAGATTGTTTTGAAAATGTTCACTATTACTCGCTTAACTAATTATTTTCGTTCTCAAATTATTTGCTATACAATCGAGTCAATTCTTTAATCGAATGAATAACAGTTATCTATATTTTAAATAACCTTGATGATGCATTCATTAATGTTTCTGCTGTTTGTCGACGTTGTGCACCTTTAATTAATACTTTAAAAGCATCAAATGGTGTTTCACATATTACTTCAGTAGCACCAATTATTGTATTTGTCTAAACATTCAAATTAAACAAAAAACAAAAGTTTCTTGAAAAGAAAATTTACTTTATCTTTATCTTCATAAATTTTAATCTTTTCAGGTTGTTCATTTGTTACATCAGCTAATAAATCAGTTAATTCTTCATTATATAATTCAAGATATGTAATTTTAACTGTATAATCAACATACTAAAAGACAAAAAAAGGGAACACTAAATTTTTTTAAAATATCAATGAAATTTTATTTGTACTTGACGTTGAAGTCCTTGAAATATATGATGAATAGCTCTTGGCATAATACCAGCTTCTGATTCAAGCATTGTCATATAAGCACTAACAGTATCTTTTGATGTTTTATCCATTAGAAATTTTCCTAACATCGTATGTGTTTTACTTGAATAGATAAACAAAATAAAACAAATTATGATAGACAAAAAACTAAACATACCCAGATCCTGTTTGACCATAACTAAAAAATAAAGAGAATGACTTTTTGATTTAAAATAATAAAATAAAATCAACATACGCAAAAATAGTTGAACTATAACCTTTAAGTACTTCATCAACAATCGGTGCAACAACAACCTTATAGACATCTTGTTGACGTGTTTGAATACCAAAGACCTAAATAAATATTAATTATAATAAAATTTGTTACTGATCATTTTTTCTCGATTCAAATAAAAGAAATATTACATGATCATAATTAAAAAAACGTGTTGTACTTGTTTTACAATTAACAATTATTTCTCGACGTGTTTCATTTATATTTAAACAGCTCGTTAAATTTTGAGATTTTTCATTATCACTTAATGGACTAATAAAATAGTTTCAATTAAACAAAAACAAAAAAATTAACTCGAATAAAATCAAACCGTGGTCGAGCGATAACTTGAACATGTTTATCCGAACCATTGAATGATTGTGATCTCTCATTCATTATGATTATTTCTATTTCATCAATTTTAGAGTTACAAAAGGAAAAAACTGAGCTGTAAAAAATAAACGTGATTACAGACGAATGTTTTCTCTAAAGATTAATCATCTTCGACGGCAGTACATAATAAAGCGCGAAACTGAAATATACAAAGAATATTTCATAGATGTCACTTTCGATTGAATCGATATTTAGAAAGAGATTTTTCCTGCACAGAAAGAAACGAATGACTTAGTGATGCGATAAATAAAATCTAGAAAATACTAACCATCTTTTGATGTTTCCCGTGGAAGTTATCTATTTTAAGAGTAATGATGTTTTTGTTAACACTGAAAAGCCCAGGGTTTGAGTCAGAAGTTTTGATATCATAACATAATCCGTGATACAAAGCATAACGAAACAAAAAAAAAAGTGCTTGGGAGTATATGTGTCATTTTTCTTTAATTACTATCTACACCTTCTCTTTTCAGAAGTTCGAACCATGGTTATAGGTACCATCATCTTTTTTGTTATTTTGATAAATTGTATGAAACTATACTGATGATGAAAAAACGCCACTTTGTAACAATGAAGCATTGTGAATTTATAAGTTAAATAATCTTTCTGATGTGCCATAAAAACTAAGTGTTTAACTGAGTACTTTTTAATCATAGGCAGTATTCGTTAATCAAGTTATCGTTTTAAGATGATTGTATTTTTATTTTCTAGAGAATACAATTAAAGATGAAATATAAGTCATTATGTTTGTTGAAAGTGATTCTTTTCCTACAGCATTGGTTTTTTTTTGTTAAGACGAAAAATATCCAAGTTCTGATGTAATGATCTCATATCCTTCGGATACTCACAATAAAAAAATAGTTAAAAGAAAAAAATTAACAACAGGGATATAAGAACCAGTTTCTTTCATTTTTCTGATAAAATTCAACATTTTTGAGGGAAGGAGAGGGCGCTTAATCAATTTGTGCTGTACGAAGTAAGACTCTCAATTGATTTTAAAAAGACTTTAAAATATATGAAAATAATTTATTCAGTTTGCGCAAGTCCCCGTCAGGTGACGAAAGATGAGAGACAGACAGTAAACAATTGACGTCAATGAATATGTTTTTCTTATTCTTTCGAGGTTTCATAAGAAAAAACAATTTTAGTTCAACTTTATATTATTACTAAACTAACATTTCGTTTGCAAAAATTGTTTCAAGTATTTTTGTTCTATTAGAATTAAATCTACAAAATAAAAAAAAGAAAAACAATAAATGCACTACAGTTTTAACCTTGTTTCTAAAAGATTTTTGCTAATGTAAAAGAACGAAATAAGAAAAACAAAAAATCAATGCAACATTGTACTACAAAAAAATATGCATTAATTTTCGTGCAAAAATATTTACAGTGCATATTCAATTTTGAAAATTTCTATATTATTTTTAGGATGCTAGTTTTAAGATAAATAGAATCAAGTGAAAAAAAATGTCATCTATTCACATCGTTGAATGAAATTTTCTCATAGATAGCATCAAAACTTATTCCCATCTCGGTATGTTCTGACATATATACACTGAATATGAATACCATTGCAGTACTATTATCCAGTGATACTAGTATATAATTACATATTCAAAATACCTATTCGTTTTTTCTAAATACTTTGATTCAGTATAACATACATAACAAATACATTAAATTTTTTTTTGGCTTTTAAGCCGTTTATTAAAAAAGAAAAAAGGTAGAACTAATCACTACACGAATTTATTATTTGTTGATTACATCACAGGCTTTCGTAGAATAATAGGATAAATTAATCATTGAAACAGCTACACTATCTTATTTGACTACTGCGTCGTTGTAAACGAATCCAAATACCATTTTTTGGTGCAATAACAAATCGTTCATGTTCAGCAAATTGACTTAATGTACGTTCACCGGATAAAATTGTATATCGACGAAGAATTCTTACTAATGCTAGTTTAATTTCTAACATTGCAAAACGCATTCCAACACAATTTCTTGGTCCAACTCCAAATGGTAGCCAAGCTAATGGATGTCGTTTTTCTTGAAAACGTTCAGGATAAAATTTTAATGGACTTACTGGACCATATAAGTTTTCATCATAATGTATACTAAACATATCAACTGCAAAATTTGTACCTTCTTCAATTTTGAATTGACCTATTCGACATTTTTTATTACATTGTCGATTGACAATAAATGGTGCTATAGGATATAATCGTAATGTTTCACGTATAAACCAATCGAGATAATCAAGTTTAATTAATTGTTCATAATCATCATAAACATGATCAATTTCATCTTGTAAACGTGCTTGTTCATTTTGATGTGTTGCTAATATAAATGCAAGATAACTAAGAGCTGTTGCTGTTGTTTCGAAGCCACCAATCATAAATAAATAAATATTATTTAATAATTCATCTAGATTTAAATGATATTTTGATAATTTTGATGACTAGAAAAAAAATATATCATTATAAAGCAAAAAACAATTAAACTTAATAAAAACTTACAGAAGACATATTGTGAAAAACATCAGTTACATCAATCATTGACTGTAATAAATCAATTCTTTGAATTCCATGTAAACAACGTTGTTTAATTATACTTTCAACATGGTACAAAAGCCATGTATGTGGATCAGTATTAATAAAACGGTTCATAAACGGTATATGATCACATAACCATAAACGAAATATATTTGTATATTTAAAACATGCAATCCATAAAAAATTTAATTCCGGTAAAAGCATTGAACATATTGTTAAAGTAGTTTGAAATATATTCAATTCAAATACTTGTAAACATCGTTGAAAAAATGTTTCACTTAACTTTTCATGTATATTTGGATTAATACCAAATGCACCATTTAAAATAATATTCATTGATGTACGTTTAAGTAAATATGATATATCAAATTCAACATTTGGTTTTTGTTGATCTAATTTTTCAATTAATCCAGTGATACATTGGTCAATTATTGTTCGCACTTCTTTTAATTTATGTGGACTAAATGTTGGCTGAATTATTGAACGTTGTCTTCTCCATTCATCATCTAAGCTAATGTTTCATTAAGAAAAAGCGTTGCTATGAATGGATTAGTATTCACATGTAGAGACCTTTCTTTGTTAATATAGCAATCTGCTATAGAAAACTGTAGATTTGACTTAATTATCAAATAATATAGACAATGTATATATCCGAAGAATAATCAATCATTTAAAACGATTTCTGTACTAGTTAAAAAGGTAGGATATCGGCAAAATCAGGCAGAATAGGACATTTGCACCTTTTATTTGAGACTGATTCTCTATAAGAGTGAATTTTTTGAATAAATTCTTTTGGCATAGGCTTATGTGAAAATGTTTGGTCTTTCACGTGGTTATTAATTAAAATTAATTAATTAATTAATTAATTAATTAAAAAGTAATTAGCGAATATCTCGCTAACCATATGAGAAAAAAATCTGAAAACTTCAGGATAGGGTCTAGGGCACAAGCTGTACCTATGGTAAAATTTTCAGCAAGATTGGACTCCGAAAAGTTTCTTCCGAAAAATCGGTTTTTCAGAGACCCTGAAAAGTGAAGAAGCGAAAACTTTTCTCTTATCATCATCTAGGGATTCTGAGTAATGATTTGTAACGTTTGAAGTCGATTTTGAACTTTTCAGTTGGTTATAAGAGTATCATCTCGATTGTGTAGTCGTACTGTGTCACGTCGCTAACGACAAATAAATCGGTTTTTTTGAAAAATCTAGACATACTCAGAAAAATGTTGGATATAAACTTTATAGCCTTAGAAGTCGTCTACGAAATGCCCTATTTAGTTTTCTAAAATTGTGCATGAATTGGGAGTTATTAAAAACTAAAATACACGAAGTGGAAATCGATGTCCTTTTTTGTGTCACGTCGCTAACGGTTGTTTTTTACCAGTAACTCCTGTAGACAAAGCTCCATAGCGTTAATTTTTTTAGGGTATCTAGAGTAACTTAATGTCCATACAACATATAAAAAATCAGATCTAAGAGAGCTCATTATCTCGAGATACACATATTTTAATTTTCCGAAGTCACGTCGCTAACAAATGATTTTGCCCATATATGAAGAGCAATCTCAATACACTTATTATAGTAAATGTTTTTTTTTAAGCAAGATCAAGTTGGGCCCTTTCTCAACATTTTATGACTTGAACAAACGTTTTGATTACCTGTCGAAGCCAGTAAATGTCGAAGATCATGTTGTTGTAGTGGTAACGGCCGTCGTGAATGAAAGTGACTGAATTTACTTATAAATATTTCTTGAAGTAAATCTGGGTCAGAAACACATATAATAGGTGTATGACCAATAAAATAACCATAGATTTTTCCATACTCTTTTGTCCAATCTGCTAAACAAGCAGCTGAATGTCGACTATGAGTGAATAACTCAATGAAATTACCAAAGAACCAGCGTGGAGTTGGTCCCGGTAGACCCATTTCTTTAAATGTGCGATAAATTTTGTTCATCTTATGTAAATAGATTAGAAGAAGTAGAAATAGAATGACTATTAGTGTTGGTCGAATGAACAAAGTTATCATAGATAAATATAACACATCACTGTTACATGAAAACATTATTTAGTATTATTGCTTTATATAATGTGATGATAATTATACAAGAAGATCTTGCAAATAAATTTAGGTCTAATTTTTTGTGCTTTTATAATTCTCTAGAAATGAATACATGCAACGAAGCAACCAATGAAAAGTTGAGACTTGTAGTCAGTCGAATATTCTTTCTTCACACGCCTTTTTTTTCTCTCTATTCTCTTTTCGTTTCTTCTATTCGTGTCTCTCTCCTGCTACCATTGTTAATATTTCAGTAATTATATTCTAAAACCGATGGCAACAAATCGCAAAAAACATAGGTCGTATTATCTAAAATTCTTATTTTTTCTTTGCTTTTTCCCTAAATTTGTTAGATTTTTCTTACTTTTTTTTCTGCATATTCTTAATTCACAACTTGGATTTAGACAAACTATTCATTTTTAAATTGTATAAAAGATTAATAATCTACATCAGTATTTAAAACACATTGTTCGATCAATTTTACTAAACGGAATCCACATGACATCAAAAAAACATAGAATAAATTTCATAGAATAGCAAAATATGTAATTCTTTTAACTCAACTTCTTATTTATATTTATAGAAAGTCTGGAAACAATTATATGAAATAACTTCTAATATGTTTGGACACGTTGCACATATGGTTTTAACTACTCAGGAAATGATTGTGTCCTACAATCTAAGATTTTAGGTTTGAATATCATACAGTTTTAATACAACAGCAAGACTACATTGGAACTTATATCGACAATAAGAAACACAGGATACTTTCTCCCTCCCTTTGGCTACATTTATAAAAGAATGATTATGATAAGCATATACATATACCATTATTGAGAATAGTGTGATATAATATGAATTATATAATTTAAAAAGTGCACATGAGCCAATAGAAACTATTTAGATTTAGTAGATATTTTTATCTCTTTATATTAAGAAAAAGAAACAAAGAAATCATTAATCGATCATAAGTTTGTTACTCATTTTATTGATAACAGAATCATTTTAAACTGCATATTCTCAGTTTGACGCAGTTGGCTAATCAGATGCTCGGTTTTTTCCTTTTCATGCTGTAGACAAAAGTAAATAAAATTGAAGCATCAATATGTATTTTCGCAGTTCATTTTATTTTAACGAAATGAAACAGAACATTTCAAAAAGCTAGCTAATCTTTATCAAAAGTTGATTTGAATAATAAAAAAAAACAAACAACTCTGAGTTCGAATTTCAAGTGCCTAAAAGAAGTGGAAAAGGCAAATAAAAGAAAAAAAGTAACGTCAACAATAATGAAAGAAATAACAAAATAAACTAGTACTGGTGTGATCAATTTATTTTAAAAGATAAAATTATTAAAACTTGGTTCATTGATACATGTAAAGCGGTTATTTGATACACATCACTAAAGTTAAATTATATCGATCGACAAATCTTTATCACTTGTGTTTATAATCTTTTTTTTTCAATTAGACTATTTATAGATTTTTTTTTATCAAGCTTCATTAAATGTTGACGTTGAAACATAAAAATTCAAGTTGATAACAATCTATAGTTAGAACAGGCTATTTTTATTTTTATTTTATTGGTTTTTGAATATTTGTGACATACTTTTTAGTTTGATTCATTATGAAAAAATTTTACAGAAGTTTTTACAAGCAAAAGAGAACGTCTCCATAATATATGCATTTCACATTTAGTTAAATGAAATCTTTTTCTTTTGTCATATCCATATTGATAGATAAGCAAAAAAAGAACATTGAAAGTATCTTTGCTAGGTTTATTACTTGTCAAAACCTGAAAGCACTTAATTGAAATATTAAATGATTGTATACTATATAAGCATCCATCTGTATTATTCATCTATAAATAGTCTTCATGAATTTTCAAAAGTTATTTAATTATGAATATTTGAATGATACATGATGCACATATTGGTAGGTACATAGTTGAAATTTAATATTATTCGTGAACTTTGGTCGTTGACAAAAGATAATGATCTGTTTGCTTTAAATAAAAAGGAGCAGAGAACAAAGGTATCTTGATGCACGACTTATCACATTCTATATTTCAAATGTTTATATTTCCAGTATTTGGTTCTCATCGAAAATGTGCAAGATTGAATTAGGATTGAATATGTACTTATTCAATAGACTTCTTTTTTTTCCTTTTACATTTCTTTGCGTTTTTGAAAGGATATCTGAAGAAAAACGAGAAAAAAGTAAACAGCACTTAAATACACCAGCTGCGAGAAGTGCATGCACGACCTTGGTTCGTTCGTTTGTTATCGAAATTTTGAAAAAAAAGTAAGATAATGGTATGTAACCTTCACTAGCACGAATAGAACACGAAAGAATTTCATTGGTTGAAACATTTTTTTTTAATATACGAAAGATAAAATAGAAAATTAATGTTGATAATTCTTCTAAGTATAATAAAATTCAAGATAAAATTTATATCAATGTTCGCATACACTCTCATCGACATAAATACTTTTTATACTGGTTAAAGAGTACCTATCATTCACATGAAAAATTACTGATATTTGGGAGCATAGAAAATATGCATACAAAGTAAAACTAGAAAGAGAATATGAAAGAGAAAAAAAACATGCGAAATAACAGGAGAACCTAAATTGGCACACATAGCTGAAAATATCTAACTGGAGTAGATCATATTTAAAGTTGATATGTTGTTTGTGCTTTAGTGATCATGATCTTTTCATAAAAATATTCAGAATTTCATGTTGGAAAGGAGCTTAAATATTGAAGAATAAAGTTATTATCCAAGTCAACTAATACTAGCTTGAAATTAATTGTAAGATAGTTTAATCTAAATATCGCTTCACTAACACAAACTTTGTATTTGTACTTTATAATTTTCTTCTGTGAACTTATTTGACAAAATCAAAGATAGATGAGGCAATATTGATCTTTTTGATAATCGTAGGAAAAAACATACAAAAGAGCTATAACTTTATAAGGTTGAAGTTTTAACTGATGGCATAAAAATATCAGAAGAATATAATCTTAACTATGATATGAATACAGAATTAAATTCTGATATAATATTTAAAAACGATTAAGACATCTTGTATCAATAGAATACAATAGACAATAATACTTGATAGAACTCAGAACAGTATGGAAAATCTCTTCATAAATTTATATTCGTGAAATGTAAAATACATGTGCTCGAAAGAAAAAAAAACCAACCGAATAATAATTTAAAATATGCACAGATAACAATATTAATTTATGATAATATCAAGCCTGATCAAGATCTTATTAACTAGGCAAAATTCTTTTTCCAATTCGTATTTCAATATATATAGCTCTTTATCATCTATACTGACATTGCATAACAAATCCGCCATAAAATGATATGTCAAATTTGTCATATAAGCTTCACTGATTACTACGATTAATCCTATTTTCTATGATATTTATTCTAACATATTGTTTTGGAGCAAAGCAATAATAGGTTACAAAAAACAAAAAGTTCGATGTTATATCTTTTAACAAGACTCACGAATAAGTTAACCAAAAGCCAACGATATGGTTCATCAATAAGTATTTCATATACATGTAAAAGCTTTTTACATAAAAATGTTTGTTCGATTTTCATCCATCGATGAGTCCCTGGGGAGAATTAAAAGTACTCAAATGGAATCAGAAATTTTTGTTCTTTTCAAAAAATATGAAAGCTTTAGTCTTTCTGACATAAGGTTGTTTAATGAGAAGCAAATAAATGCATACAACAAGAATAATGATTATAGTAGAGACCGTCACATGGCACTTTTTTTCGCCCTATTGTGCTTGGTACTCTGTTTTGCTCTACACTACGGTACTCTCAAAGGACACCAGGGCGCCCTGCAAGACGTATAAATTGAGTTCGACTATGGAATGAGTTGATAACTGAATGAAAAATTCTCATCGTTTTTATATTCAATGCTTGTATTATGTTTACATCATTTCAAAATAATATTAATCATCCACAGGCATGCATTTAATCCAAACTTTCGGATTCAGTTTGATATGAAGAAAAACAGTTTGACACCAATAGAAATTTTCTTATTTTATTCTTTTACTTCTCAACATTTCTGTTATAAAGCATTCAGATACAAGTAAAAGTCTTGTGTCATATACTACCAAGTGATCTTCTCTTCTGTATGTTATACTTATTTGAATCAATCAAAAACATAGATACAATCTGTTCTAACATTTTTCCTTGAATATATTGTTTACAGACATAATAGTTAGTTGTGTATCACAAGAAACTTTAGAAGTAACAAACTACTTTTTCTTGCTGAATTAAAACCCGAACGTGAACTTTTTGGTAGAGCATCGAATGGGAGTTCGGGTTCGATGCTTTTCTAATTATATGCAAGAAAATGACAATAAGTCCATTTAAAATTAATTCAATTGGTAGTATTCCTATGCAAATATAATCTGATTGTCGATTTATGGTTTTTTTTCAAATCTCTTTAATTAATTAGAAAGATTTTTGAAAAATCTTAACAATAAAACGAATCTACATTAACGGCTAGAAAACATTAGATTATAATTGAACAATAATAGTGTCATTTAAATTTATTCGTAACAAAAAATATATTTATTTTTAGTTCAATATCTTAACATTTTTTGCATGAATGCATGACATTAGTAGAATATTCATACGAAAATAAGATATTCCTCCATGAAACTAAGTATTTTTCGGAATCGAGTATGATCATTCATTTTAGCCAAAAGCTTTCATCATCATTTAACAGAAAGTGGAAATTCATTTTTTATTATTTGTTAGACGTGCTTGTGATATGATAAAAGAAATCGTATCTTTTCGAAATCGAAAAAGTTCGTATTGAACGCTAATGACTCAAAATGAGTATAACGTCCGTAAGTTCCAACGAAATCGATCGAAGACATGGAATTATCAATAGTTGGTGAAATTGCATATATGACCAAGAGGGTAAAAGCTCAATTCTAGTACTTCAGTGACACTCCACTTTTATTTTATCTGTACTTCATCGTATTTCGAAGTACTGAAGTCACACTTTTTCCCTCTTGTAGATGGCGCAGGTTTTGGGAAGTTCATATTTACATTTAGAAAATGCTATCAAATAAACTTTTATAAAAAAAAACATAAACGTTAGCAGTTTCGAGTGACGGTATTTAAAGGCGAGTATTCATTACTTTTGAGTATTCATCAGTGTTACTCGTACTGGAATCTGAGTATGACAATCAAATATTCACCTAGTAATAATGAACACTCTGACTGAATCATCCTATCTGATGAATGCAGTAACGAATAAATGTATAATCTTGCTTATGCAAAAATGAAAATAACTAATTATTTTTCAATTAATAATTATTTTTCGTATAGTAATTTATTAAAAAAATTAAATTATTCGTCCATAGTATTATGTATCCGTGTTTTCATAATTTCAAATTACAATCGTTTCAGAACAAAAGTTATTAACTATCTTTTTGTTTTATTTGTTTTCACAGGCATTCTAAAACTTCTGTATTTTGATGAGAAAGGATATTTTATCTAAATTTAGAAAATTATATTTAACGAACTATTATTTACACATTTGAACAAATGTTTAGTCTCACTTGACAACGTGAACAATTGAAAATAAAAAGTCATTTTTTTTTCTTCTCTTAAAGTCCTCATTCATTGAAGTACATAATATAAATGATTCATCAGAAAAGAATAGAGAAAGAGATAAATAAAATCTTAGAACAAGCTCTCTCTAGTTTCTATTTAATTGCATGACTTTTTGCTATTATATTACTTCAATGTATTTTTGTATGAACTAGTAATCTATAACTGATTTGCTAAATATTTTGCGAAGAAACCAGTTGAATGCGCATGTTTTCGTCTCTCAGTAAATCTTTGAGGAAAAACTCATATGAGTATACAAAAAGTGTACACAGACTACAGCCCATTGAGTTCAAGTCGGAAAACTTTTTGCTGACTAGATCCGAAAACTTCGGATTCGCTTGATTCTAGCCATCTAAGAAATGTCTAGGTTGCGCTTGCCACCGAATACAATAAAACACAAAAAAATATCTCGTACCTTTTGGACGACTATACAATTCCGATTAGAAAATTTCATTGAGAGTATCCAAGTACGATTCGATTGGGTCCGAAAAAGTTTGATCAACCATGTCCGGATTCGAAAATTTTAGACGTGCCGGACTGTAACATATACATTATATCAAATTTTTCGAACTTCTATATTTAGAATGTAATAGTATTATTCGTGTCTTTATTCGCATATGTAAAAAGAAGAGGAAGATTTATTTTATAACGTAAAAGACTTTCGAAACATAGATTATTTGTTATGTTGTCTTTGTTTTTGTTTTTACTTTTCAATTATTTTGACGAAGCGCATTCTTATATAACTTTAATGTAAAATCATTTTATTGTGTAGGATAGAGAGAGAGAGAGAGAGAGAGAGAGAAATATTTTATCCAAATATAGTCTTTTCTTAATATTTCTTTAAAGTTGGATAAGACCACGATTAATCATTGCTCTCATACTCCAAGCATTTCTTGAACCATCATCATTATAAAATTTCCATGTCCAATATGTCCATCCACCAGTTGCTCCTTTAAATGCATCAATTTGTGCTCGAGCATATAATCGTAAATCATCATCATTAAAACTAGCTGACGATGCAATGGACCATTCACCAATAAATAGCCAATTCCCTTTCCAATTTAACATATCAGTTTTCAATTCATTTTGAGCATAACTTATTAAACGATCTTTACTCCAATCCTAAATATATTCATTACAATTATACATAAGAGAATGAGAAAACAAACCATTGTTTATCTTACTTCGTATCCCCAGATTTGATAACGATGCCATTCATGTCGAATACCATGAAATTGTGGTGATGGCATAAAACGAGCCCAATCACTATCATATGGTCCTTGTTGATATAGTAATGGTGCTACAGTTAATAAACAATCTGAAAATTGACGAATACGACCATAAGCATCATAATAAAACTGTTTCAAAACTCCTTCATTTGTTGTTCCTATAGGAGAGTAAGAGAGAGTGAGATTTCCTGTATAAACAAATAGATGTAATTATCGATATTTACTTGTCGGTTCATTGATTAAACCAATACCTAAAAATGCCTCATCATTATTATATCGTCGTGCTAACCATTCAACAGCATCTAATGTATTTCGAACATTTTCTGGATATGCTGACCAATGTGAATTGCCTGGATCAGAAGGTGAACTATGATCATTACCATTTTGACTGCCTTTAGCTGCATGAAGTGAGATTAATACAAGTAAATTATGTCTTGGTGCCCATTCACGAATAGCTCGATCTAAATAATTGATACCACCAGGTGCATAAACTTTCCATCCATCTGGATCACCACCAGGTTGATTATCGAACCCAGTAATCCAATAACCAACAGGAATACGAACTGTATTCATTTTAGCTGCAGCAATTTCACGAAAATCTTGTTCAGTTATAAATGTATCACGATGTTGTTTAAACTGATTATCACCTTTATTATGACCTAGTGACACATATATGTTATATAGAATAAATGTAAAACAAAGAAGTTTAATTAATTAGTCTACCAAGATATTGCATAGTTTTGAATTCACCATGATTGGCAATATCTGTTGGAACACCATTCCAAGCAGGTGAAGCTGATGTCATCCAATATTCACCAACAAGCCATCCACCAAGATTAACACCACGCATTGGTACACGTCCAGCTTTGATATCATTTTTTAAATTTGTAAGTGTACTTTAAAATGAATAAAATAAAACAAAATAAGAATACTATTCGATTAAAATCTTATTTTTTCAGAATATTCACCTTTGTGCTGTAATCAACCAAATTTTCATGACCAAGAAAATTAACCATGAAGATATATTGACGATCTTCACCATTGTAATGATTGGTTTTTTTTCAAATGATTCTATCTATCGATATTATTCGAATTTTTATATTATTATATATAAGCTTACTATCGTGAGAATAGGTTGCCTAATGCCTTTTCGTTTAAAATATCATGTTACAAAAAGATAATAAAAAATAAGGATTAGATCTTCCACAGGCAAGCTTAACTATGCATTCTGTTATTTTTCGACTCTCACAGTAACTTTTGATTAAAGTACAAAAATTATAATTAAAATGACTTAAAGTCGTTTCCAGATTGAATCAAATAGTGCATTTATCTCAATGATATCGATGACATATAGGAGTGCCGCATTAGTATTACTTAGTAAGCCTAATGCTTAAGAGCAAGTCTCTGAGAAAATCAGTCACTATAGGACACCGACAATGGCAAGACATCTCAGAATTCACTGATTCTTTTTTATATGTTATAGAGAGTAGTGAGTTTAGTATTCTTTGAAATTTTCAGCTCGATCTAATCACTTTTTCCTGTACAAATAATTAAAATACTAACGGAATTTTTCATAATTTTTAATAGTGATTTTTTGAGTAAAATTAGCTTTTGCATTTCAATTTGTGAGATTTTCGACTTTTTTTTCTAACTATAACCTATTAAGATATTGTCCTTCTGCACATAAAATCTCAAAAGTCTTCATTAATCCTCTGAGAACGTCTGAAATACAATTTAAATAGTTGTTTTTGCCAAAATATCGGTCAATCACATTTTGTGCGTCAAACAATGAATTGCTCTGAAATTTCTACCGGTGATAGAGTACATTAAATTCTACCACCTAAGATATTTCACAGTTTTCTCCCATTAGAAAAATGAAGCACTTTTGATTAAAGTCATCTATTTCC